GTCGTTGCTTGGAAGAACTTCTTTGATATTCAAACTACATTTTTTAATTTTTCTAGGTTTTTCTTTTTCTTTTTCTTTTTCTTTATTATTTTTTTTTTTTTACGCGTCGTTTGCGCCCCTATTTATATGCTTTCAAAGTTTTCCCGCGCTTTTTTCTATTTAGGTATTATGCCATGCCTACGCGTCCTAGGAAAAACATGCCTGCAGCTGCGTGATGCAAGGGAAAAAAAGAAGGGAAAAATAAGAACACAGACACAGTTTTCCCTTTTCCCCGTTGCTCTTTTTTCCCGTTCGTCGATGATCGCTCACCTCATCATTGCTCCATGCGATACAGGGATGTTGTGTATTTGGGTTATTGTTTGTTGGATTGGGTGCACAAAAAAAAAAAAAAAGTAAACGCCCTTTTTTTTTTTTTTTTTTTTTTTTTTTTAATTGATGCTTCGATAGTACAAAAAAAAAAGAGGATCCTTTTATTATTATTATTCGTCCTCAGCTTTGTGCATGCCAATAGATACAATGCAATTAATGAATAGTCTTTTTTTATATTTGTATAAATAAGTTTAGTATTATTTTGTATTCAATTGGTGAATAGACCTTTAAGAATGGTGAAAGAGTTGATTTTGTTATTTTTTTTTATTTTCAATTGATTTGGTATTTTAAAAAATAAAAAAAGATTAATAACAATGAAAAGATGTATATATCTGTAGGACATTGCTCTGACCCATGGACCTTTAGCTTCTGCTGGATAGATAAGGAAGGGAGATGGGCACATGTTGCAACTCAACAGAGGACAGAGCATTGTCATATCCACTTTTTTATGCAGACTCTTGTTAGATGATTCAGTAAGACATTTGGATCCTTCGGTATTTATAAAGAGTAGGCTATTGTTGGTGATTCAATCCAGACTCTCCTTGCAATACTTTGACCATGCATGCCCCCTTTTCGCCCGTTTTTATTCTTTTTGTTTTATTTCTCGTTGGATTGACCCCCTATTCAATATACTTTTATTATCGCTATTATACTTAGTATTAGACTTTGCTATTCAATACATAACCACACAACCTTTGCTTTTGTATTCTGTTTATTATCACTACTACTACTATATGTATTTATTACTACTACTACACATCTTTTTCTTTTTTATTATTTTATTTTACTTTTTACTTTTTATTTCTTATTTTACTTTTTATTTTTATTTTATTCCTTTTTTTTTTTTTTTTTTTTTTTTTTTTCGGACCTGCAGTTGGTTTGTGCACACTCAAGCATAGCTCATGTACCGCTAGTTCATCCCATTGTCCCATAAACTCGGTTATCTTTTGACTCGACCCAGCGTAGTGGTCAAGCTTGCTATTCGTCAATACTCTATCTCCCTCCTCCTACCCCCCTTCTTTCCCTTCTCTCTCTCTTTCCTCTCTCTCTCTCTCCTATCTTTTTTTTTTTTTTTTTTTTTTTTTTTTGCCTACATTCTTTCTTTCTTTTACCGTTGTGCAGCTTTGTATGTCAACATTCCTCCGCTTTAAGCTGTGCAATAGCTGCAGTAGCTGCAGCAGATGCAAGAGCTGTAAAATAGCTGCAATAGCTGCAATAGCTGCAATAACACATAATAACACATAATAACACATATAAATATAATATATATATAATAACATTACTAACTAAATTAGTAAGAATGCATTATTATTATATAAATACTCTTGTTTAAAATAGTCTAAGTGAGTACGAATACTTCTTTTAGGCGATCACTTTTTTTTTTTTTTTTTTTTTTTTTGTATCCAAGGAAAGAAATAAAATAAAAAAGCTCTTTTGTATATCAAATTCCTTCGCGTTTCTCTCTCTCTCTTTTTTATTATTTTTATTATTATTATTATTATTATTATTATTATTGTTTTATCTGTACTAACCTATACCAACTTATGCTAGTCTATGCCTCCACAAGCAAGGGGGAAACACAACATCACACAACACTCTATTATATATATATATACAAAAACACGCGACGCGTTTTTTTTTTTTTCTTTTTTTTTCCTCATTGACATAAATGTATCCAATTTATAAAGGCTCTTAGTTTTTATCATATATATATACCAATTATTCTTTTTTCTGCGTTTCGCCTCTTTCTCTCTTTCTTTCTCTCTCCATATATATATTTTTTGCTCTTGACACATTATCCTTGATCCTTATTGTTATTATTACTACTATATATATACTATTGTTATATATATATATATTTCTATTAAATACCCTGTATTGAGTTTCAATTTAATATGCCTTATTTCAGTTTATATATATATATATATATTATAGATATACCATGTCCTGTCTGAAGTTCATGCGTGTCAATTGTTTTTGTATACATGTACATACATGTACGGCATGAAGAATAGATAAATATATATGTATGCCTAATGTATAAATGTATATGTGAGCATAGTGGGTGCTTGTGCGTTTTGTAACAAAGTGGGAAGAATAAAAAAGCGTCTACAGTTTGTTCATTATGATTATCCCTCTTCTTCCCGCGACATACCATTTGTTCAAACACCAAAGCGGGAAGAAAATGAAAAAAAAAAAAAAAAAAAAAAGCCAGTTGGTATTACTAATTGCACTTTTTTATATTTTATACTTGTAGGCTACAATTGGTCATGGAAGGGTAAAGGAAATAACAAAAAAAAAAAAAAAAAAAAAAAAAAAAATACAGAGAAGGGGTGTGTGGGAGAAAGAAACGCGAACGAGAATGTGGTCCAAGAAGAGGAAAAAAAAAAAAAAAAAAAAAAAAACACATACACACACACAGCACTGCAGGAAAATGAAGCGAGTTATTTCGCAATGCAATGCAATGCAAAAAAAAAAAAAAAAAAAAAAAAAAAAAAACACTTTTTGGCAAATGAATTTTTTCTTTATTCGCATATCGAGCTGCTGATGAGTCCAGATGTGACGAAAAAAAAAAAAGAAAATGTCCATCTCTCTCTTTTCTCACTCCCTTTTTGAAGCCATGAAAAAGTCAGCATCTAGAATAAGTAAACAAATAAAAAAAATATAGATACATATATAAAAAAAAAAGGTAAAGTCAATCAATCAAAAGTTGTCGATCGGATTGCAAGACGAATAGGATAGAGTCCTGCATTCCTTCCTTTTTGCTCACTCTTTTTCCAGTAAACGTTTGAAGAAAAAAAAAAAAAAAAAAAAAAAAAGTTTCCTGTGTTATTGTTATTGTTTAACACACGCTAGCCGATATTACATGTAAACTATCTGTTGTACATGATCTTGGGGGGAGTGTATACAGTAGTCAAGGGTTATTTACAGCCCTTTTTTTTTATTCCATCTTTTTTTTTTTTTTTTTTTTTTTTTTTTTTCTGCCTGTTTGTCTGTCTGCCTGTTTTTTTTTTTGCATTGAAGGTTTAGATGCGAGTCCGAGACTGTAGCAAACCCGATTGCTCCTTGAATGCTCCTTTTGTCCTATATTCCAATATTTGAACAACATGTGCTTTTGATGTTGCAGAGCTAAGCAAATGGCTCTTGCCCCTGGGAGCAACTCCTTTCTAGCTTTACATTTCTGCTGCTAAAGCAAATGTTAATGTTTTATTTTTTTTTTACTCTTCCCCTGTTCTTCACTCCTAGTGTTTCCTAGTGCTTTTTTTTTTCTCTCTCCTCACGACGGCTCAGATTGAGTCAAATTGGAAACTGGGCAAAGTTTAAATATATTGATTTCAGTAAAAGGTTCATTTTTATGGTTGCACACAGTAGATTTGTCACAAATGCAAAGTTTTTTTTTTTTTTTTTTTTTTTTTTTTTTTTGATCGCTCAACTCAACAGGGTGTTGGCAATGGATCGTTTAGCAACAAACAACCCTTGAAAATAACAGCATCAACAACATAAAAAAAAAAACTCCACGGGAAAAAAAAAAAAAAAAAAATAATCGTAAAACAGTACCAGGGGAAGATGACGCAACAATACAAAGGTCCAAGACGGATGAGCTGGAAAAGGTTTCGCTTTAATCTGTTGCAAGTACATTTGAGGTTTTATCCGCATCGCCACTGCATTTCATCCTTGCTCTCTTTCTCTTTTTCCTTTTCTTACTTTTACTCTCTCTCACTCTCTCATTCTCTCACTCTCTCACTCTCTCTCTCTTTTTTTTTTTTTTTTTTTTTTTGTTGTTGTTGTTATTATTGTTGTTGTTGTTGCTCTTTTTAGTGTTGCAACACGAGTGTGAGCTGTATAGATGGAGGAAGAGGAAGAGGACTAGGAGGGGCTAATCTGCATGCATTTGTTCTTTACCATGCTACTATGCTACGCCATGCTGATGTCGTGCCATGCAGTGCGCCATCCCAAAACAACAAAAAAAAAAAGAAGCCCAATCAGTTACCCTGTTCTCTTTCTCTTTCTCAGTCTCTCTTCTCAATGATCTTGTCGGTTTCCTCGCCAATGGTCAGCGACCTGTGGTTCCAGAATAAACTTGCACACTTCCTTCCTCCCCCTACTCTTTTAGCTCATTTAATGTAGTTGTTACTCTTGTGGTTTTTTTTTTTTTTTTTTTTTTTTCCTTTTTTCTAATCAATACAGATCCGGTTGGTTTTCAGCCTCTCATGTTTTTTTTTTTCTTTTCTTCCTCCTCCTCCTCCTCCTCCTGCATGGCCCACATGCACCGGTCAGTGTGCATGAATCGCCTCCGAAATATGCGAAGCTTTTTCATTTGCTGAAGTCCAAATTACCTTTCCATCTGCCATAGTCCATGACCCCCGCTGCTTATCAGCGCCCCAGTCCTGCCCTTCCATCCTTGACAGCGTTGACGGCTTGCATAAACGAAGCTAGGTGAACTTCATCAATCTCACCCTTCTTCCACAGTTGCCCATCCTTTTTTTTTTTTTTTTTTTTTTTTTTTTTTTGCTTCTTCTTTAGCCTTTCCCTCAACCTGGTTGCTTGTAATAAGAGTTTTGAATCTCTTCCTCTCTTTTTTTTTATTAGGTGATCCATGTTCTTTCTTTCTTTCTTTTTTTTTTTTATTACCCAAATTGTACTATACTCTTCCTTGCTTATCTTTCAACTCTTCATAGAATATCTGTCACGTCCTGCGAATTCATTTTTTTGATTCTTTACGCCACCAAAAATCAGAGGTGAACACTGGACAAGACAATTTCTGTTCTATATCGACATGCTTTAATAGTAAAAGACTGCGAACGCCACTGCTGCGCACCACAACGAGTCCTAAAAGTTGATGAGAGGAAAAAAGTTATTATGGATGTTGGAGTATTATAATATTATTATTCATTTCGTCTCCATCATAACCATATCTGAAAACTCACATTAGTAAAGAATGCCTGAGCAGACCCATCCGATTCCTGATCCCAATGACATCGAGCATCCATCCGTGCGCCACCACCGAGATTTTCACCAAGGACCACATTCACCACATACTTGTATCTACCGAGGTCGAGTTCTGGAATGCACACAACAAGACATAAACAGCCGGATAGACAGGTAGATAGACAAACAGATAGAGATAGACCATGAGAATCCACAGCACAAGAAGATTGTTGCAAAAAAAAAAAAAAAAAAAAAAAAAAAAAAAATCTTTTCTCACCAATGAGTTTCTGTTTGATTTCCTCTGCAATCGTTTTGGACAATTGCTGGCCTTCATCAGCACGGTAGACTTTGTTTTGAAGGTGTGTCTGAATAATCTGTTGCATGAATTTAGTGGCAACAGGTGGACGGAATCTGTTATAAAAAAAAAAAATCCGTATCATTGTGTGTGCTTGTTATGCTGGACAAATGAACCTTTTTTCTCATTTTGATTTTGAATTCGCCTACTTTTGCATGAATGTAGGTCGTAAACTGAACGAGTCTCTGTCGGATGACATTGAAGTTCTGCTGGGTGTCATCAAGGATATATCAGAGGCATTAGATGGGTGATGTTGGTGATGTACATGCGGTGTAGTCGTAGTTATGGCAATGGTAGAAGCCATGTCATCAACGGTGGATCTCATTGCTGTAATGATTCTGTCCGTGTCCTGTGCTCGTTTTTGATGTGAGGCCTTTTCTTTTTCCTTGCTTGGTTTCTTCGTGAGCTTATTCTGAGCAACGCGTCCGGTTCCGCGTTCAGGAAAGAAATGGTAATGTCAAATGAAGTGATTGGGGAAGGGAGTGGTTTTTTTTTTATAAAAGGTTATTTTTAGAAAAAAAAAAAAAAAAAAAAGAGAGGGGGAAATAAAATACAGGATGAAAAAAGCTTTGTGGAGACAGTTGTGATTGCGTGCATCGATATCCTTTGATGAAAGAACAAGAACGTTTAGTAGGACAGGTACCGAATATGTGGCCCTCTTATTGAATCCTCACTTCAGTCTACTCATGGAGGAGAGGACCTTTCATTGTTTATTTGTTCAATGGGATGTAGTCAGCTGGTTTTACTGCCGACTGGGGTTGACCTGAATGACAGACTGCAGGTGCCATGTTGTGCCACCAAACTGGGGAGAGGGATGAGTCTAAATTTATCCAGAGCCATGACTTCACATTTATTTAAAAAGCTTACTTTTCGGGGGTTGCGTTTTCCTCTTTCTTTTCATTTTCCCTCCATTTTTCTCATTCACTTTTCACTACTTTTTTTTTTTTTTTTTTTTTTTTTTTTTCTCATTCCAACGCTTCTTTTTTCACTTCCTCTCTCCGTTTCTCTTCTCCTCTCTCTCTTTCTTCTTTCATTCTCAATCCTTACACCAATCAATTTCTTTTCAGATAAACTTGCTTCTAACGACCCTTCCGTTTTATTAAAAAAAAAAAATTCAAGACACCCATCAACCACCCTGCATTAATTATATTCGATGAATACCTCACCTGCACACTCCCTGCTTCTGCCACAGCTAGAGCAGAACGGGAAGAGACTCACTTCCGACATGTTGGATTCACAAGAGCTCAAGCCTGCATCCAAGTCAAGGAACACTAACAGCATCCTTCATCGCCGTAGTCACAGTAGAAGTCCCAGCAACTGTAGTGTCGATCAAGCAGGCACTTGCACTCAGGATTGTAACGACAGCACTAACACTAACAGCAGCAACGCTAGGGACCACGGTAACGGAAGCCTCTTATTGAGCGATCGGCAGCAGCGCACAGTTAGAGATCGGAGTAAAAGTTGTAACAGCAATCTGCACGGAAGTCCTCCCACGAGTCTCACGCTCAGCATCACCCCACCAAGCTTCACATCCTCATACCTGAACAGACATCCTTCATCTTCCCAATATCACAGCAATAGCCAAGACCAACACCAGCAAAGCACTAATAACCTTTTAGGCAGTCATGGTTCCTTAGGACCATCTCTGTCTCAGCCAAGTAATCCCTTTAGAAGCGGAGTCGGAGCACGACGAGCATCCTTTAACCTTTCGAGTGGCTCCTTAAACTTCCACAACACAAGCTTCACTAGCTCTCTAGGCTCTCCATCCTCTCCATCCTACTCTACCATTGCGGTAGCACGGGCCAGGGCTCAAGCAGCAGCAGCAGTAGCAGCGGCAAGGCAAGGGGTTGCAGAAGAAGATGAAGAGGAATACGAAAGAAGAATCAAGGCATCAGAAATCTTTCCAGGAACTTCAGTACCGACGTCCTCCTATGGATTCCAAGCACCTGTACAGAGTACCTATCCTTCACATTATCCTCACCAGTCCCATCCAGAGCTTCCGCAAGATCTTTCTTCCTCATCGAATTCATTGTTATCAAGCGACTCCATGAGTTCGATAGAATCGACATCTGGAGTATCTGTACCCATGTCAATAACTCATCTTCAAGAGAATGCCAAGGCAGAACGAGAGATTTCAATGATCATTGACAACTTTTTATATCTTGGAGGAGAGTTAGTCGAAGAGGAGCAAATTGAGGAATTGCAGCGACTAGGGATCAAACGTGTGCTCAACATGGCAGCCAACTGTGACGATGAACTCTGGGTCAGACGGTTCAATAGCGCTGAGGAGAATGCGGCAGCATATCTCAAGGTTGGTTTATTGGACCATGTTGATCAAGACCTGAAGGAAGGGCTAGAGAAGGCAATCAAGTTCATTGGTAAGCTCATAAAGTCAAAGTTTGCTTTCTGTTTCTCGTGTGAAGCATGTTTACAGCTTTGGTGGCACCAAAAGTCCAAACAACCAAAATACATCTCGTTTTTTATAGTTATTTATAACTTACTGACTAACTAACTCTTATAAATATATATTTAGGTTCATCAAAGGATCCTGTCTACGTTCATTGCCAAGCAGGCAAGTCAAGATCCGTCGCGACAGTCATTGGATATCTGATCCAAGGCCAAGGTTGGCCACTCAAGAGAGCATATGATCTTGTCGTTGAACGCCGACGGATTATGTCACCTAATATTGGATTTGTATCGCAATTGATCATGTTGGAGGAGTGTATCCTAGGACAAGAGAAGGCTGGAGGATTGGTTAACTCGATGGAGGATAGTGAAGAAGTAAATCCTACATTGCGAACCACAATCATACCTTGAATGACCTCATAAAAAAAAAATCAAGAAAAAAAAAAAAAAAAAATGACGACAATGATGCTTAAATTAGAGAATTTCCTATTTCCAAAGATTCTGCTCCTCCCACTTCTCTATATCTGTCATTACGCTGTAAAGAATCGCTGTATTTTTCAAATATTCATTAATGTACCCCCAATTAAAATCCTTAAATGAGATGCAGGAGTTTTTGTTAGATCTTGCTCTACTGTCATTTCCACAGGTCAAAATTAAATATGTTCATGTGTATGATTAAAGAATATTTATTTGGAAAAAAAAAACTAATTCTGGAATGTTTAAAATAAGGGTATATAAATCTATTAGTGCTTTTTCCTTTTTTTTCTTTTCTTTTTTTTTTTTTTTTGTAGTTTATACATTTTACAGCAGGGTTGAGAAGTGAGGTGAGGTGAGGGAGAAATACAATTGAGGAATTTGAAAAAAAATGTAATGTACAAATTGTCACAAAGAAAGTACAAGTGATAACTGATAATGATAAAGATTTGTAGATCAAAAGAGAGCAAAAACAAAACAAAAAAAAAAAGTTCCGACTGAAACATCAGAACTGCGATGCAGGAGGAGAGAGTGTTCCTGGCATCTTGAATGATAAGGGCTCAGATGATGAAGCACGATTTAAATCAAATGATGAAAATCTTTTGAGTTGAGATGTCTTGGATGGTGTATCAAACCAGAACGCATTACTAGAATTCAGATTTTCAGAGGACGACTTCTTCAATGTCGGTGGCATATTCGGATTGAGAATGGTGGCAATTGCAGTGTTGAATTGAACTGTATCGGGATTCACAGCAGTTTCGACGCCAAAGACGGAGCTTACAGACTGTTCATTAGGAGGTGTGATCAGATTCAAAGTCGAAGAAGAAACTTGTTCCTGTTGGTGGTCTGTGAGTGACAGAAAAAGGCTGGAGAGCTCTCTCTTGCGTAAAGCAGGTCTCTCGGGCGTAAGATTCCCATGTTCATTGTCTAGGAGCGCCATGCTCGAGTTTTCTCTCTTGAGCATGCAGGGGAAACGAGGTCGAGGAGACCCAGAGACTGAGGAAGGAGAAAACTGGTGCTGTCCCAGGGATGTGATGCGAGGACGTCTGGGAGAAAAGGAGGTTCGCTTGGGTGAGGGTCGCCTTGGGGAAGGAACTTGGGCAGTTTCAAAGGCATTATTGTCACTGTCACCTTGGGCACTATTGGAGTCGAATGAAGGCGACCATGAAGAGGATAAGGACGAAGAGGAAGGAGGCGAATACCGAGCAGATAGGAAAGCAGGGCGGACTGGTGAGGGGGGTGCGTCTTGGAAAGTAAAAGGGGAGCCGAGGGAGGGAGAATTAGAGGGACTCCATGTAGGACTACGGATGGGGCTGCTGGTAGGGCTGCTGAAAGTAAAAGGTGGGCTTAGAATCGAGCTGTTGGGAGAACCATTGCCCATGAGACGATCCAGACTGGATGCAACATCCTGAAACTGCTGCGAAGCACAGAACAAGGTTGTGTCTTGCGAGTTGTCATCGTCATTGTCTTCACCTTGATCATGTATCTGGGGGCCAAAGGAACTGGATAGTGGCGGTTGAGATAGTGTGGAGAAAAGAGGGTTTGTGGGTGATAGAATCGGCGATAGGACAATAGGACTCGTGGACTGGTCAAAGCGTTCATCAAGGCTAAAATGTGGATGTTCCGTATTTTTGGTTTCGTCAAAGCGCACTTTCCTCTCATGAACGGTGGCGTGTGCGTCCACTCGAACTCGTTTTGCCTTCTTACGGCCTTGCACAGCAAGCGTAGGAGGAGAGCCCAGGGTGGTAACTGAGAAGACAGAGGATAGACTATTGGATGATGTTGCGTTAAGGTCGAGGACGTCATGGATATCTCTACCATCCTGAGCGTGCTCATCCTCCTCTTCTATATGGTCGTCCATGTCACTGTCAGAGCCATCTCCATCGTTACTGTTGTCGTCCATACTTTCGACAGAAAAGTTGCTATTGCTGTCAAGACTTGCGGTATTTTGAGCGGACCGATGCTCTAGCTCCCAATAGTGTTTCGCGGAAGCTCTAAGGTAGTTTTCATTTATGGTAGTATTGCGCTTGGTGGCGAGGCGAACGTTGCATTCTTCAGAGGTCTCGTCTGATAAGATGGGTTCCTCACGGAACAGTCTGCTCTTTCGGGCTCGCTGTGGCCTGTTCAAAGGGCGAACAGCGCTATTTGGTGCCAAGAAGGTGAATGACATTGCCTTCAGTATATGGCAGTAAGCAATATTATTATTTCTTTTCAAATGGTCAGACACTGAGAGTGGTTGTCGAGGAGGCGGCAGATCAGAGGAAAAAGAGGATGTTGTTGTACTTTCAACTGATGTGATGGATGACGAAAATGGGGTTGTGTTTATAATGAATTTCGGAGAAAAACTGTAGGATAAAAAGAGGGCGAGAAGAGAGAGAAAGAGAACGTTTGTGTGAGTGTGTGGATGTGGGTGATGTGGAATGAGAAAGGCGAAGAGGAAGCTAGAAATATGAATTACTCTCTTTCTCTTGTTTGTCGAGGGAAGTTAAAGGTGGAATGATGGAGAAAAGTCACCGCAAACAAAGCTTTTATACCTTGAAAGGCGGCAAATCATCAATGGGACGGCTTCGATTGACGTTTCTCTTTTTTTGGAAATTCGTTTAATTCTTGCAACATCAAGCTCTGCATTTATGAGAGAAAGATTTCTTGCAAATATAGAGTGAGCCTATGATTTCTAAATCAATCAATAGCCACATCCACTATTGTTGGTCGTGTGCTGTATTGCACAAATTTTGAAAAAAAGGGTCTGTTGATCTGTTCTGTTGGACTTGACTGCACGATGGAAAGTTTCATTTTTCTCATTCATTCTTTCCTCATTCATACCATCCTCTCATTCCCATATTCACCCTTCTTTGCCATTCTTTTTTTTTTTTTTTTTTTTTTTTTTTTTTTTTTTTTTTTTATTTTTATTTTTCCCATCTCTTAACTTGTGTGTATTCATTACCACTCTCCTGAGAAAAGAGACTTTTGCCATCCTGCTCATCTATACACAGTATTGCAAAATCCGTTGAGTATACCCTTACAGACACAAAAACCTTGCCACCGACTCTGGGACAACTGTTGCTGACAGGATGAAGTTTTCTCATCAGTTGCAATTCAATGTTGTACCCGAATGGGCTGATTACTACTTGGCGTATGTGTCCGGTTTTGCTATATTTGTTTTACATGATTTAGAGCTTAATATGTGGGCTAACCATCTATACTATGGGACTCATAGGTATGACAATTTGAAGAAGATCATCTACCAGGTAGAAAAGGATCTGGTCGCCGCAGGCGCTCCTTCCGGTAGTGATGTCGAATCAGGGCATGGGGAGCCTGATGAACGATCTGGCCTACTTTCGACAAGTAGACGCGCACAGGCCAAGGCGAGAGCCAACAGTATGTTTCTGCCTGCTCTCGACAAAGAGTTGGAAAAGATCTTGACCTTTTATTATAAAAAAGAACGTGAATTGTATGTCGAGGTGGAGGCACTTGCCTCAGATATTGAGTTTGCCGAGTCCGTAGATCCATCAATTCCTTCTCGATTGGGAGGATCTTGTACGCATCCCAAACCCAATAGTGGGGGATCACGCAGGACCAGATCGCGCACTAATAGTAGGGCGAGTCGTAGATCGACGTTGACTCGCACCGGCAGTTGCCGATATGAGGAAGCAGTAGCTCATGCTAATGCTGCAGTCCTCAATTCGGCGCTTGAGGCCTCACAGGACGAAGATCATGTTCCTAATCCTGCATCTGCCACCAGAGGACATAGCACCGAGCCCTCTGAAGTTACTGCCAACGATATCAGTATCCCTTCACACAACGAACAGGCTCAGGAGGATGATGATGAAGATGAGCATGATGATGACGATGCTAAAAGCATGTGGTTTGATCCTGAGATGGAACACGAGAGGATGCGCTATCGCCATAACTGCATCGAAATGTTTGTCAATCTGTCGGAACTCCAAACGTACGCCAAGTTGAACTGCACCGGATTCTCAAAAATCCTTAAAAAGTTTGATAAAATCTCTGAGAACAACACTAGAAGGATGTACATGAATGAAGTTGTCCTTCAAGCATACCCTTTCAAGCAAGAGACCACCGCCAAGTTACAGGGGCAAATTGATAGGGTCATTAGTATTTATGCTCGCATTTTCACGAATAGCGATCTAGATGTAGCCAAACAATCTCTTAGAATGCATCTTAAAGAGCATATGGTCTGGGAACGAAATACGGTCTGGCGAGACATGATTGGTATGGAACGAAAGAGTCAGGCCGTTGGGGTTCGCTCTTCATCTGCGCTTAAAAAAGAACCTATCTCAATTGCGGGATTCGAGCTTCCAGAGTTCATCTCGCGTGATCTCCTTGTGATGACTTTGTGCTGTACCGTCTTTGCGGTACTTCTTTATGTTCCGCTGTTTGAAGGTCCCGAACAACAAAATTGTTTTGCGATCCTCATCTTTGCCTCGCTACTATGGGCTACAGAGGTAAGCGATTGTTTATAACTGTCAAGTTGCTCTGGCCCGACGGAAAGGGAAGAGAAGAAGGAAAAACTAGATTTGGATTTTGCATCCACGGGTTAATGTACACAAATTGCGTTATCGACTGACGTGATATCTCTCTTTGTCAATGGTGCATACATCTTTTACTCAGGCTATGCCCTTGTTTGTCACATCATTATTGGTTCCTCTCCTTGTGGTGATGTTGCGAGTCATGAGAACAGATGACGAAGAACATGCGCGTTTGGATTCCCATACTGCAGCAAAAAAGATTTTTTCTCTCATGTTTTCTCCGGTGATTATGTTGCTTCTTGGAGGTTTCGCTATTGCTGCAGCCATGAGCAAATTTCACATTGCTAAGGCTATGGCTACTGTCGTGCTTTCGAAGGCAGGCACACGCCCTAGTGCGGTGCTCCTCGCCAATATGCTCGTTGCCACCATCGCCAGTATGTGGATTAGCAATGTTGCGGCTCCTGTCCTGTGCTTTTCTTTGATTCAGGTATGACGAAGCTTCTATATTAAGCTCTCCTGTCGTACAAGCAAGATCATGCAGGCATTAAAAAAAAAAAAAAAAAAGCTCATTCAAGTAACCCATTCTCTTGATAGCCAATTCTGCGAACTCTCCCGCCTAGTTCTTCATTTTCAAAGTGCCTCATCCTCGGTATTGCGCTGGCTTCCAATGTTGGGGGAATGGCTTCGCCCATCAGTTCCCCTCAAAACATTATTGCGATTGAGTACATGAAACCCGCACCAAGCTGGTTGGAATGGTTCTTGGTCGCCCTTCCGGTGTGTCTTGTTTGCGATCTTGCTATTTGGGCGCTTTTGTTGTGGGTTTACAAACCTTCTAGTAACACTCCTACAATCAGTACAATCCGTTCGACTAAAGATCCCATCACTGGAACTCAAGTTTTTGTGTGTACTGTCACTTTGATCACCATTATCTTATGGTGCTTTGAGCATCGTCTTGAATGGCTCTTTGGGGATATGGGTCTCATTGCTATTATTCCTCTGTTGGCATTTTTCGGAACAGGAGTTCTCACCAAAGAAGACTTCAATAACTTTTTATGGACAGTCATTATTCTTGCAATGGGAGGCATTGCATTGGGTAAAGCTGTGGAGTCATCTGGATTACTGTTCATGATCGCGAAGGCAGTTCAAGGATATGTCACCGACATGTCTGCTTTCGCAGTATGCTGTGTATTTGCCTCTCTAGTCTTAGTAATTGCAACATTTATTTCCCACACTGTGGGTGCACTCATCATTCTTCCCATTGTTGCACAAGTGGGGGCCAGCTTGCCTGATCCTCGCCCTCGCTTGTTGGTCATGGTAAGCTGCTAGGACTTGTCTAGTCTGAAAAGCTTTTTTTATTATTACTTCTCTGATTTACTTTCGCATCCATGTCATTCATACTTCAATCTTTTTTTTTTTTTTGTCATGATCTATAGTCGGCCGCACTGATGTGCTCTGGTGCAATGGGACTTCCTGTGTCTGGCTTCCCCAACATGAACGCTATTATGATGGAGGATGAAATGGGGCAGCAATATTTGAATACCAGCGATTTTTTGAAAGTTGGCGTCCCATCCAGTGTGGTAGCTTGTTTGACGGTTGTGACACTTGGTTATGGGCTGATGAGCGTGATTGGGTGGTAGACTGATAGACTGCCGTTACAATAAAATATACAGATTTATTTATGAACATTGTAAACGCACAGACATTTGTATCTCGAAATTTTGTGAAATGTACAAGAGGTGATGCAGTTTTAACCCCAAAATAAAAAAAAATTAGCGCAACGGTGGATCAGAAAGAAAAAAGTGAAAATCCCTCAAGATAACAGAATTTCAATGCCGACTTTGCCACATCCATCATCATACTCGATAATAGCGCATGTAGAAGTATCCTATTCATTTGTGCTGACTCGGTTCAGATTCCACAGTGGGATACATGCGATGATAAGACCGATATATATGCTTCTGATATTTTATGTCGCGTTATAGGAATCTGAAAAAAAAAAAGACTGGTTTAGAAGCAGGACCAAAGAAGGAAGGGTGCATGCACACTGTTTGTCTGAGATAATGGATTTTCAATAAATATCATACATAGTCTTTCTCTACTTTTTCTTTACTCATTCCATTGGAAATTGCATCAGCAAAACATTCATCTCATTTTACTCAAAAGTTTTTTCTCCCTCTTTTACTCCTTTTTTTTTTTTTTTTTTTTTTTTTAATACTCTCCTTTGTCAACTCCATCGCTTTTATTTGCCTTTTTATTCTTCAGTTTCAAAACACTTGTCTCTTTTTAATCAGAATGAACCCAGGGGCCTCCACCCATTCCTTAATTTTCAGCAGACCGTGTCTTTGCTCGGTTTGCTAGTTAACATCACGGCGCTACGCAACAGTAACCTCAAGTCTCACCTCTTTCGGCGACCGCCTCCTTGGCTCCCGGAAACCCAGGGTCTTGTCTGAATTACTCTACTTGTCTTTCAGACGCCCTTTGACATTTTAATCCTCACGTTCTTATTCAATTGAAAGAAGAGCCCAAAAGCACATCGGGAAGCTCCACTTCCGCCTTTTTTTTTCCCAGGTGTCCTTTGTTCTAATCAAAGCTTGGAGAACAGCACAAACTAAAGAAGGGCTTCCCTACAGTATTCAATCTTTTCATTTCCCTTCCCTCACCTCAAGCCTCCAAAGCAATTGCTCTTCCCACCATCCTTTTTTATTTTTATTTTTTTATCCTTTTCAGTAATGATCGACATTTCGTTTCAGCGAAACCAATTCGAGGTGGTTCCGACCTTGGTTCCACAAACTTTGGCGAGGGCCCTTAAATCCCGAATCAAGGTGTTGTCTGCTGGCACAGCTCGAGGGTTACCTAAACTTCATACATTACCCGTCTCTCAGATGCTTGAGACACACTTAAGCAGTTTTGACCCAATAGGCGAGGATGCAGAGGCTGAGAACGCATTTTACATTGCTGATCTAGGCGAGGTGTACTGTCAGCACTTGCGCTGGAAAGCTCTTCTACCACGCATTGAACCATTTTTTGGTAAGTTTTTTTTTTTTTTTTTTTTTTTTTAGATTAAGCTTTATGTTATTATTCCACCGAAACCGTTATAGACAGAGTCCATTAGCGTCTCTCTTTCTTTGATAAGAGTTGACTACCTCGAGGGTTCAATCTCATGACGTCTTCTTTCCTTTTACGTAGCCATGAAGTGTAATCCTGATCCAATGGTGATGCGCCTAATGGCCTCTTTAGGTATCGGGTTCGACTGTGCTTCCAAGAATGAGATCCAACAAGTTCTGGATATGAACGTGAACCCATCCAGAATCATTTTTGCCAACCCTTGCAAGCAGGACTCGTTTGTCAAATATGCGTACACAAACAAGGTTCGCATGATGACCTTTGATAACACAGAAGAGCTTCATAAAATTAAGCGATCCCATCCAGAGGCTCAGTTGGTTCTTCGTATCCTTACCGATGACTCCAAGTCACTGTGCAAGTTAGGACTCAAGTTTGGAGCGCCCCTGGATACTACAAGAGCTTTGCTTCAAGTCGCAAAAAGAACTTGAGCTAGATGTCATTGGAGTCAGCTTCCATGTAGGATCTGGATGCTTTGATGCGAATGCCTACGGTGAAGCTGTCGTTCGCGCTCGCCGTGTATTTGACGAGGCCAAAGAGTATGGTTATGATTTCAAGTTTTTAGATGTCGGTGGAGGCTTCCCCTCGTCCAACGTGACTGAAGGAATCACTTTTGAGAAGATTGCCAAGATCCTAGGGCCTACAATCGACGCCCTCTTTGAGCCTGAAGTTCGTGTGATTGCCGAACCCGGTCGCTACTATGTTGGATCAGCTTTTACGCTGGCTACACAGGTCATTGCTCGCCGTACTATTCGCTCCAACAATAATGCGGATGTACAAAAGGATGCTTCAAAGGACCCCTCGCATATGTATTACATTAACGACGGCGTGTATGGGTCCTTTAACTGTACTATGTTTGACCACCAGGTCTGTGAGCCCCGGGTTTTGCTCCGGAACGGTGAGTTTGCTTATCGAGATAAGCAGCTTTTGCTGTTGGGCGACGCGATCCCCCATGGCTACGCCTCCGTCTGGGGTCCAACATGCGATAGCATTGATTGTATCACATCCAAGGCATATTTGCCACTCTTGGAGGCGGGCGATTGGCTTTATTTTGACAACATGGGGGCTTATACCATTACTGCGGCTTCTCAGTTCAATGGGTTCAAGAAAAGCAAGGTTCTCTACACCACAACCGAGGACAAAGTGACCTATTTTTTCTAGGATTTTAAACGAAATAGAAATTGCAACTGATGAAATAAGCTTTTGTAGACTTTTTAAAATTAATGCTTTGCACATGACCATTCAGAGTATGGATTGTCAGAATGGGACTATGAAAAGCATCGAAGACTTCATATAAGCAATCATATATGCAGTGAATGTAATAAATTAGGGTCTAACCCTGTTGATTGGAGTGATGCAGGTATCGTTGATGCAAGCTTTTGTTAGAGTTTGTTCAGCTCTGAATGAGTCTTCAGGTGGCTTCCATTCCAAAGGAGGAGAGATAGTCCGTAATACAACCTTGAGAAAGGAAAATAATGCATCCTTCTTTGGAATACCATTATGCATCAGCACAGCACGAAGGAAAAAAAAAAAAAAAAAAAAGTACTTTGGCGATCCAATCAATAATTGAGCCATACATCTTCCCGTCTTTTCCGTCTAGCTTCTCTTCACTATCGCCTATCTTCTATACCTTCCTCCATGTACTCCTTCACACCGCTTTCTACCGCCATCTCTTATCTGGGGCATAGTATTATCCTTTTCTGTTGGCCGTCCTTTGACTATTTAGTTTGTTTGCAGAGGAGAGCAGTGTACCAAAGAGTCTCGATCCTCAAGGATGTAAGATCCTAAATTTTATTGTAGCAGCTAAAAGATGTGAAAATGGGATTATCCTTCCATTATATTGTATTTTATTATTAATATCACCCTTTATTATCCTTCATCGTCAAGTTGTACTAATGGGTCCATTGGAAGTTATTAATCACCTTATCATCTTATTGCCCATACTGTACTTATTATACTTAAATTAGAAAAACGTATCAAAAAAAAAAAAAAAAAAAAAAAATTGATCTTTTTTTCTGTAATGCTGTTGAAGTGCACCTCCACCTTTCAAGGATTTTATTTCTTAATGTGCACAATAAGACCTCGTAAAAAAATACAACCGAGAATAATAGGTTAGACTACCTCTTCGAGGTGTGCTGCAACAGAGCCTATCGATTGCGTTTATGATTTGACATGCAGTTTAAAATTTTTATTGTACGACAGTGAATGGATGTGTGTTCGTGTATCTTTCATTCCTCAACTGTTCTCCTATCCTGTCAACTTCGAGTAGCTTGGTGGCGCGAACTTCCGGCGAAGGGCCTTGATCACATAGAGTGGGAAACTACTCACCATAGTGATTACTGCAACCTTCCACACAAATGTTTTCGTCAGAATGAAGTCCAAATCTTCGTAAAACAAACAAACAAACAAACAAACAAACAAACAAACAAACAAACAAGCAAAAAAAAGTTAATAACTAATGAAAGAACACACAAAGATTCCTTCCAAAAGTGCCACCAGAAGCACATCAGCTTTGAGCAGGAACTTTACCAAAATAAGTTGGCAAGAAAACCATTGAAACAACATAGATAACAAGAGTGGCAATCTCGGACACAATCATAAGCCGGTGCCATGTATTGATCTCCAAAGCAACCATTAGCAACTCATTCAAGACTAGTGCCGTGAATGAGATCGAAACGATGTTCACAAATTGATTCTCAAACAACCAAATGGATAATATCATGATCGCACCGCCTATTCAAAATATAAAAAATAAAAAATAAAAAAATACTCATGATATCAGTCAATCTGTTTATCCATTCTCACTCTTAAAGTAATGGCAGGTAGAGTGTCCATTACCTTGATAGACACTAATCAAAAGCCAACTGAAGAAAGTCTTGTATGACAATGATCTTCCTTTTGTTAAATCCCTGTACAACTCTGGATACAACAATGCGATATCTTCGGGAACATCCCGATCTAATACCAACGAAAATACAGGGGCGTTGGTATAAATGGTTGTATATCCTACAATCAACATGCCCTGATATAATGCAATAGGTGCAAAATAAAACATAGCCGAAAAGACCGCTTGCATGATTGAAATAATCAACCCACGGTGAATCACAAACTGCGACAACTTGGCTGAGCGCTTGTATGAATTACGTCCATGCCAAAGTAAAAGTTTTGTCAGATATGAGAACTGGTTGACAGAAAAGTCCGCAGCAAGTGACGCCTGTTTTCCTTCCTTGCCGACAATACCAACACCAACATCGGCCTGCTGAATCATAGAAACATCATTTCCTCCATCACCTATGCAGCAGATGCGCTTCTTTGTATATTGCTTAATCAAACGAGCAATATCAGCTTTTTGGGTTGGAGAGCAACGGCAGCAAACAACGACAGGCAATCGAACTGTTATTTCAATAAACTCCTCGCGTAAATAGTCGAGGCAAAGCTGGATTGACTCGCCATCAATCACTAGACAGCAATCCTTCTTGCCTCTAAGCAAATCCAGCTCATCCTGTGCATCCAATGGATTTTTTACTATGATGCATGTCATCACAAGCAAGTTAAATGGTCAGATTAAATTGATATAACTGACTTTGACATTCCACCGTCTGAGTCGCAGCGTGATTTCCCATGTTCATCAAAAGCTTACATTTGGCAATTTGGTGAATGCTTTGGTTCCTGGCTACAAGCTTGGATGAAATAGCAATGCACGTCGCAGTCTCGATCTTGTCTCCAGTCAACATCCAGATTTTTAGTCCAGCATTTCTCAATAGCTCTAGTGTGGTCTTAACGCCGTCCTGCAATTTATCCTCGACGCCTGTCAAACCAAGCAATTCAAGCTCCTGTTCGAGGACTTGGTGAACAACTGCGTTCATGGCGTTGGTTCTATCCGAGATACTAGTCTTAGCTACATGGTACTTTGATTCAAACTCCTGATACAATTCCTCTGAGAGTCTCTTCCGGGCTACAACCAAAGTTCTTAAACCCTCGCGAGCCATGTTGCCACATTCTTCTTCTAGCCAATCATTATATTGCACGATCTTAGCCATGACCACATCCGCCCCCTTCTCGTAAAAGGTAATTTCACCTGTGGCCAAGTCCCGGACAATGATACCCATGCGTTTTGTTTCACTGGTGAATGGAAAAACCTGCAATATTTCGAACTCAAAGATGTCACCGTTAGAATTTCTGATGTGGATATTATTGATGTCTCTGAAAACTAATGTTAGCCCAACGTTCTCGGTCCACTTCACAATGGCAACCTCGTCAGGCGAAGAAGCTTGATAAGTGATGCTTCCGTTGTCCTCTTCAACAGGTGTGACGTTATGGCATACAGCCAAAGCTTGGACGATATCTCGGACACGAGAAGAAATGTCGCGTCTAGCTTTGTTACCGCCAACATGCGATGGAGCTGATGCAACTCCACGCGCCCTGTTGAATCCGCTTGCTAAGTAATCCCAAAAGCAGATATCTCGTGTTAGACCGCATGTTCCCACAAGTTATTCGAAAAGTTCGTCCGGTCAAAACGACGTAGAATGGCTCTTACAGTGTTGGGAATAAGCAGTGTCCAAATGTGTTGAAATCTCATCCATTGTATCTACACTGTATGACATAGTCCCCATATGTAGTTTTTTCAGCTCCATATCTTGTTTTGTAAAAAGTAATAACGAATTAGCACGGATAAAGATATTTGAACCATGAATCAACCATTGATAAAGTCATAAATAGAAAAACCATACCATTCTTCGTCAAAGTGCCCGTCTTATCTGATAACAAATATTCAATGCGTCCAAGTTCCTCCGGAATTGTACTTGTTCGGACAATGGTACCTGGAATTTCCTTGTCATTCATAATTTGCCATGCATACACAGTTTTCCCCATATCCAGGTTCACACGTAATGAAATAGGGATGATTGATGAGAAGAGAATCAAGAAACGGAACAAGTATATATACCATAGGCCTTGAAACCCATTAAGTGCGATCATTGACAACGATAATGTCAAGGTGAATGCGCAAAGAATCTATTATAAAATGTAATCCTGTGATTAGGAAAGCGCCACTATTTGTATCTTGGCATTACTATGGCTGGTTGATAGTACCAAGCACTCGTATTTTCAATCTACCTTTGAGAGGCGATTGACTTCCGTATCCAGCAAGCCGATCTTTGTCTTTGGATGGTTTGTGTTCATAACAGCACGCGTATCTCTACCAGTATAGATGACAAAGCCAATAGCATTTCCGGATGCCACCACTGTGTTCGTCCAGAGTGTGTTGTCAACGCTCAACGACTCTGTATGTGGACCCTAATTCATAACAAGCAGATCGAATAGTCATATAAATCAGCTGACGAAATCCTTAGTAACAATGGCTAGTATAAAATATACTCACAATAAAAAAATAATAGAATCAATCCACATACGGGCCCATCGCCTTCCTTTGTAAAATTTCCAACAAAGCTGTGAATATCCTTGTGAGGCGAATCTGCATAAATCGAGGCATTCAACTCCAAAAGCGATTCGTCATTTGGTAAAGCCTGACAAGACGGTACAGCTAATCGCAATTTCCAATCTGTCTCTCCATCGAGTTGGTCTGTCCTTATAAAGCATGCACCTGACTCTTCTGTAGTTCTCAACAAGACCATATCTGCGGGAACGTTCTGATTTTTGTTGACAACAATCATGTCGCCAACTTTGATCTTTGAAGATGGGACCATTTTAAACCCTGAAGGTGTAAGCTTCTGATAGCGCTGTGAATTAGCTTCCTGGTCTCGTCGGTATCGTTTCATGTCATCCACAGCCTCCTTGCCTATTGTCACTGCTAAAACAAAACAGAGTGGCGCCACATAGGTAATAATGTAGCCTATTGCATAAAAACAGTATAGACATTTTTAAGCGTCAATAATGAATTTTGTTACAGCCGCATAGAATAGACTCTGGCAATGATTGATATGGTCCAGGTGTTAAATCTCAGCAGACGTACCAATTTTTAGCGCAGGTATGAACTGTGAAAGCGCTACGAGTAAAAAATACAGATTCAAAAAGAATTTGAACTGCAAATAAGGATAATATTGCGTTAAAGAGAGTCGGGTTGTATCTAAACTACAATGATCCTTCATGGGCTACATGTTGACAAGTTACCTGTTCCCATAGTACTATAGGCAAGAAGGTGAAAATGTTGTATTTTGTATTGCGTGTAACATTAGGTGGATATTTTTTCTTCTCCTTGACTAGCGATTTGGAACAAAATCGCAAACACAAGAAAGAAAGCGCGTGAATTGTCTCATTCGTATCACGGGTGCATCCCTGCCATCTCCTATCAAAACCAAGTGAACCAGTTCTTTCTTCCTTACCTGATGCATGAAAGTCTATGGTCCTTGATTTAGCAGCCCTCGAATTCTTGGAAGGCTTGAGTTCATCCATGATTGCTGACAATTTCTGTCGGTTAGGACCCTTGCCCTTTTAATGGTGAAGGTTCGTCACAAAACAAACAACGAGCAGTAAAATAGAGAGCATAACAAACTGCGTAAGAAAAGAAATTCACCAATAAAGAATATTAAGAGCTCCAGACAAATTACAGATGCTTTAACAAGCACAGCGGGAAAGCATAAAGCAGAAAAAGAGGCATTTAATATATGGTGTCTCGCGGTGAAGTGATAATTGTGAACTTCAGACAGGGATGAAAGGGAATAGTTAGGATGAAGGGTAAAGAGAAAGTGCCATGTACAAACACTTGCAATTGGGATGAGATTGTTTTGCCGGAAAAAACATGCAGCTTATTCTTCCTTGAGCATTTAAAAGGGTATCATGATTCCTTGTACATAAAGTAAATTCGATCAGATCGTTTTTTTTTTTTTTTTTTTTTTTTTACCTGAGAACCAGTACCATTGTCGTTCCCATGTATAACTCCAGCGCCCCCGCCAAAGGAGGTACTACTGTGGAGCAGCAGAGGCTCCTCGTCCTCATCCTCTTCATCAGAATATTTGTATTTGGAATGACGATATCCTTGGCTACTACTACCTCCACCGTTGCCACTACTGCTGCTGCCTAACGCCATGGTGCTTTGGTCTTGTCCTTGGCTCCGAATAGATCCTGGAGTTAATGCTATTGGCGTAGATCCTTTGCCAAAACTTCCTGCTCCGGTTGAAGACGAGACCGATACAGGCGAGGTGAATGCAAGATGTTTTTGATAGGGATTAGCGCGGGATGTTGTTGGTTGTGAAGATGGATGCGAAGTCTGTGATGGAGGTGACCGGGTACGGGGACTGTTAGACCGTGTGTGAGTAAGAGCGACTGCAGAACGCGTGCCGTCCCTATTGAGGCTAATGGTGCGCTGTGCGGTGGGGTATGAGTGGTCGGTGTTGGTATCGGTGTCGTGCAGGGGAAGAAGAGCAAAGGTTTCTTTGGCCGTTGACATTTAGAAAACGGGCCAGAAGAAAAGACAAAAAAGAAAAAGAAACAATGAAAAGAAAAATGCTTTTCTTGTTGTGGATGCACAAATTGGTCTTCAATATTTTTGTCTATCTGTCTGTCTATGAATATGGCTGATTGAATGTGCACGATTATGCAATGATGGTAAAATGGTCTACTGCAAGTCAGCGTTTCTGTGAAGTCTCGACTAAATGAGAAGACGTGGCACAGCCTCGAGAAAAAAAAAAAGCACGTGACAAATTATTCAGTACCTGCTGCCAAAAGATACTCAAGCACTTTAAGCGACACTGCTGGGTATGCATGTGTAAAGACCTGCTTCAGTAGCATACGGCGCCCAGCCTGTGCGTGTCGGCTCTCTGTATGTGCGCCTGGCTGTGGTAAGAAGTCCTGCCACAGTTCATGCGTGCTTACCAGCGCGTTGCGGATTGCACGGATCGCATCCGGTCCTGGAATCTCGTTCTGCTCCAGCCAAACTTTGAACCAGTCGGTCTTGCACTGGCTCTTTATAGATTGCTGCTTCTTGCTATTAGAAGGGAACGAGCCATTTGTGAAATAATATCGTGCGACCGTATCCGCGCTCCAATCATGCTCACCAAGCTGTACCTGCCCATTCATGGCTTGCTCTACACGCTTAGTGATCTTGGAAACAAGTTGAGAAATACGACTAATCTTGATCAATGTGTTGCTTCCGTCATCTTCTAGCATCTGAGCCACCAGATTAAACGACAAGGCCGTTTCTGCTGCAATCGACTGACGTGCGTTGGCTCGTCCCCTACGCCCACTCTCTTCATGAAGCTCAGTACGATCCCGCTCGTTGATAAGATGCTGCTCGAGGCGTCGCTTAAGCTGGGTGTCGTAGTAGTTTGCCAAAATTCGAAGTTCCCATAATGTTCTCCAAGAGAGCTCACCGAGACTGTCCAGGCGGCTACCTATGTCATACAGCCACACATGCACGCACATGGTCTCTACTTTATCCATCGTCAAACACTCACATAGGACGCTGGTAAAATATGCCGCTCGTACTTCATCTGTCGCGTGGCCACCTCTTGGAGCTCTGCAGAGGTGATCAGCAAATGCCGCGACTTGTGGATCTTGCAGAAAGGTCAGACAAAAGTCTTCACCGTACGATGCAGAACTTTGGTCCGCCACTTCATTGCCTGGGCTGTTTTGTTGTCTGCCATTAAAGTAACTGGAATCCAGCCCCAAGCTCAACTTGTGTCGTTTCTCCTGCAGCCATCGGAATTTCTCTTGCTTCCGCTTCCTGGGTCCGCTGTTCCCCACTGTATCATCCACATTCCAGCTCGTCAGGACCTTGGGGAATGGTCGTGCTTGGATACCGCGCATACCCAAGGCGTCCTCCGTGTAACTTAGATGGCCAATGTGTCTTATTACTGATATTGACCCAGACTTGAGGATTTTCCATATCCTAGAATATTCCTCATTTTCCCTACTTAAATCAATCGTAATACCCCAGTAACGCGGCTCCATGATCTCGATTTTCGAAATAGTGTTTAATTCTGGAAGCAAGCAAGGAGTCATCATGTCCAATCTAGAGTTTGAGAAATATGTCGCTGCTTTGTCCTGAGAAGAACTTGGGTTCAGTCCCGTGTACCGAGCATACTGTAAATCACCGCCTTCGCTAGTGTCATTGGTATAACTGGCTGGATGAGGTCTGATAACCATTTGAATTTGTGATTGATAATATGCTGGTTTTAGATGTATTCGCACAGGAACTGGGCAGCAGGCTCCAGTTATGGCATCTCTAGTGACAAGACACCTTGGTTCTACTGCTAAGACCCAGAGGTGCCGGAACGCCTGCAAATGTGACCTATTGTCGGATGGATCATTGGGGAGCCGCGGGTAGAGGCTGCACAATAATGCTGCAACGCATCGATTGCTTGTTCCCAGTGTGTATCCTCCCCCTCCCAAGAACAAAAGCCCTAACGCCATGTGATACGCAAGGTGGCTGCCATAGACAGCTTCGCTTTTCCTTCGACGCACCAGCTTGCGTAATCTGCGAAGCAGGTCAATTCTACCTGAGCCTGCCACGACCACTGCGGCTGCAAGTGTGGTCACATCCAGGCACGTGCGAATCACGGATCTAGTTATGCTGTCTTCGTATGAACCATCTACAGTAGGAAGCAAAGATTAATCAAAAAAAAAAAAATATTAAGTAGCAAAGCCAACAGTACTAAAGATACAGTAAGCTGACGCAATTCATGGGCTCAACGTACTACCACTGCCGCGTCCCAAAGTAATAAACATATCCAAATGCTTAAGGATACATTCATATGCCGCCTCATTGCCGCTTCCAGCAAAGCGAAGACCCATAGCAAAGCACGCCCCAACTATAATACTGTAGTACGACTGTGGTCCAGACTCAGTTGTCGGTGGCCCGCCGGTGTGTATATCCTTAAGGTAGCCTGGAACTTGAGAAAGGACCCACTCTTTGGTTGGAATGATGCCATCCCAAAGTACAATCGCTTTGCAAATGACTCGCAATATAAGGGCATCCGGTGAAACGTAATCAAGTAAAAAAGGAGTCTCAGGGACATCAAGCTTGGATGCAATGGACTTGCTATTAGTTTTGAGATACATCAGCCCCAGTGCAACTGTGGCTCCAGCGCTAGTCACCTCAATACCAGGCTGTCGCTGGCTCCATCCGTAGTCTGCTGCATAGGGTCCATGGTCTCTGCTTTCATGGTTTTTGTCCACACTTCCAGGCATATAGCTGACCAAGACATCAACTATCCTCATATCTCGTAAACCCATCGACTTGTTGCCTTGTCCTAAAGTAATGAACCCAAGCCCGAAACCTGCGGCGACGGAATGACACTCCTGAAGATTATTTATAGAATCTGTATAATTCCTCGTGATCGACCCAATCTCTGATAGCATGACTTCAGTCATGCGCCGATGGGAGGTTTCCATATAAATAAGGCCAATGCCCAGGACGCAAGCAACCTGTGTTAATGGTGATAAATTAAGCTCTGATCCATGCTGTGGAAGGAGTGCTGGCATGTGAACTGAAAGTACCCTTGTGATCGCAGTGTTCATTGTGCCTCTATGGGCGCATGCTAGTCCTAGAAGAAGACCCGTTGAGGTCATCTCGTGCTTGAAGGAGAGATACCTCCAGACATGCGGCCTGGCTAATGTCCGTAAATGCCCAGTCAATCCAAGTGCAAATAAGAAGCCTGCATGACTACTGTCCAAGTTTTCAGGTCTGTTATAGGTAATCCACGACGAATTAACATCCTTACTGTTAGGAGAAATCCGAAGACCTGCGGCAACGCCGTTATGAAAACTAGGCCATATCAGCGCATGTTCACCTCCAAGCGATGCCACCTCCAGATCCATCACACCAAAGGTTGGCAAGACTTTCGCAGACAGGTTGATCGGCGGAATCGGACATTTTTGATTCAAAATTGGTGTTGCGGTCCCAAACGTGAAGATACCGCGTCCTACAGGGAGGGCTAATGTCCGAAAAGCCATTTTACAAAGAAGTGCCTGATGCGCAGCACGAAGGTCGTCTTCTTCAGTAAGCTCAGGCATCTCCTCTGACTTCACTTTGGAGACAATAGACGAACGAAGCATCTTTTGCACTTCTGCTATACGCATGTCAGCTCCGAACCGTAAGTTTGTGATGTCTGAGTTGGTAATTTCTGTCCCAGTAGTCTCAAGCTCGCCTTCACCATTTTGATGACGTTTATTCTCGCACAAAGTATGAATGTCTTGTCTCTTGCCTTGCTCCTATTGATTCAAATAGTTGGTATCAATATCATTGTATCTCATAATCCAAACACCATTAGCTTGTTGATAAATGAAATTTAAATGTTGTCAAGCTTGGGTTACACTTCTATCCTTGATAGGCGGTTTCATGTAGTATCCAGGGTTCTTCATCGAAGCGAGCTCTGCTAAATCGTTCCTACCGATGAATGAGAGGGCATCCGAGGACAAGTCTGGAGATGGATTCCTTCGACACTTCCAAAGTGCCTCCCTCAAGGGCACTGATACACCGAAGGGTAGTTGATCCAGCTGTATATTGGTGAATGACTCGCTTACAATAGCCCTCACAGCTGCTTGGTCTCCGTCGTCACCGCTCATCAAAGAAGTGAAAAACAGGCTTATTTTTCGAAGCTGATCACAGGGGGTGGAGTCAAGGGCCGGGAAAAGTGATTGCTCTGGGTCCCGAAGCGTTGAAAGGGAGGCTAGTGTTGGAAAGGGTTTCGTCTCGTGAGGTCGCGTAACCATGTCCGAAATCCATCGAAAGATATCAGGCGGCTCGTATTTATACAAATCCAATGGTAATGGATCGAATTCCATATACACCTCTTTGAACAATAGGATGAAGCGAGAAAACATTAGAAATGACTAACAATCATACATTCGTGGCTATAAAGTAAGGCAAAACGCTACCTGGTAACTCAATTATCTTATCGCTTTCAAAGATACGCCTAGCATATGCATCTGTCCAAGTGCTCCAACGAACAACATGAGACATCAACATCAATAGTGGCCCCATGTCTCCTTCGTTGCAGGTTGCTAAGTTAATGTTTCGGTCCTCATAGACAAGGTGCAATGCCACAAGTATGTACTTGTAGAATGTGTCTAAACGTAGTGACCCCCTTGTTGCTGGCCCTCGGAAATGAGTCGTAGCCAGCTTCTGGGCCTCCACGACCATTTCTGTATAAATATTCTTTGTTGGAGTGGATAGTTTTTGTCGCTCGTATCGGAATGAAGGGTGTTTATTCAAAAGTCGATGCATATCAGACTCCAAAAAGAATTTCCAGTCAGGATCCTCAACGAGAAAAGATTTCTTGGGTACGCCTGCGAGCTGGCGGCTTTGAATTTTTGGAGATGACATGACCGGTTGAGAAAAGCTGGGGTCACAATACGAAAGCAACGTGGTCGTAAAATTGCTCCATTCATCCATATTAGAATCTTTGGAGTTCTTGTCGAAATGCAAACGCAGGAAACGATGCCTGAAGTCCCAGAGTATCTCAACCGGTAAAGCGTAGCTTAGGGCATCTAAGCACTCCTGCACTAAACTTGATCGAACAGTAAAATCGAGGCATACTCGCAGGATTTTACCATCACTAAGAACGAGGCTCACTCTATTTTCGACAGCATCTTTAATTTCCACAATCTGCAGGCCTGCGTTCCCGGAAGCACTAGTTTCGGTCTCTGAGGCCCATAAACCATCCTTCCTGCATTTCAAGGGATCCTGTATCAGGTTGAAATCGCACGGGATAACTTCCGCAGCGAGCCCTGTCCAGAGCTGAAGCGTTCCATCGCGAGAAAGCATCAAAATGTCGCGCAAATGCTTCCTTGTAGCTTCAACAGCCACTGCGGATAGAGCTGGCCTTGTCCATAATTGAACAGTAATTTGGTCCGCAATGATTTGATAGCAAGACAGCTTCTCGGTTTGATGGTCCAGCACGCCGATCACTGTTGAGCCGTCGAAATAATGGGCTCCAAATATGGTTGATTCACGTCTATTTTACGGTTTCATATCTAAGTTAGCATTCATTTTCATAGACAGAATGACTTTCTGGTCGAAAAATAATATTTGATATAGCACTTACGACCACCCCTGGATATCGCTCTCGATCTCAAATAAATATGTGTCCGTCCTCATTTGCAGGTCTGTATGGTTATCACCATCCACCGCAATGCTGTCAACAGGTCCAGCTTGAGATTGTGTTTTTGTGAATGGCAACGCCGTGGGCATGCTAGATGCATACCGCCACACTCGATGTCGCCCCAACAACAAATCAAATGTTACAACCGTCCGATCCGAGGCATCCATTTCTGACATAAACACACAAGTATTAAAGATATCACCTACAACTCCACCAAGATGTCTTATTCGAGGACCAGTCTCCATAAAAGTACTTTTTGTAGGTAGCACAGGTTTTGGCAACTGGTAAAGGGTAACGATCTGGAGCTCATTGAATGGATCCATTAGCATGTAGAATCGTGGTAAGCCCGTACCCTCCATGCTTCCAGCCACTTCTTCACCAGGCTCTGATTTGCGTTCCAATAACAACCCTAAGTCCATTGCCCATACTTTATGTACACCCAGTGGTAAATGAACAGAAAATGATTCGCCGCTTGGGAAGTAAATCCTTGCAGTATCTTTGAGGATGATTACAAGAGCTTGCTGCCTACCTTGGCGGTCCGCTCCTGGATTCACGTTTGAATGCAATTGTTGTATGTCATCCACGTCCTCACGCTCTTTGTCTCGATCCCTCTCACGATCGACGATTTTTTGGGATGGATTATTGACAATAAGCCAAGCAAACAATGTTTGCTGAATTATTTCATTCTCAGAGCTAAAATCCAACATTTTGCGGAGAACACCACCCTGAGTCCATATGACCTTGGATCCTTTGATCACGACTTCAACATCATATCCTCGTGGACTTTTGCTTCTAATATTGCTTGGGGCTCGCTCTTTCTTGCTTTTAGGCTCTGTATCGTTGATAATACCATCGAGTGTGGGGGGGTGTAGGCTGTAGCGAGGTAAAATATATCTACCATGTGGTTTCTCAGAACTCTGGATTTTATCACCAGGAACGTTAAGCTGTGTAGTTGATGATTTTGCTGGCTCCTTCGCTCCTTCCTGTTCACTAAATGGCAAGTATTCGCCTAGAAATGTGATCTCCATATTATGCTGCTCTTTATGCCTAGGGCAAATATTGCATGATTCCTTGTCAGTTAATTGTGCAGTCAGAATTCTCCATGTGTGTGGATGTTCAGCTTCATATTTTAAAAAAGAGAGGCACGCGCCGCGCGCCTGCTCAAAAGCCAGTCACATTATAGGCACCCTGAGTGTTGCCATGGTTTCGATCTGTTGCATTTATCATGTATTAAACCACATCGTGCAGAAGGCATCACAATATTATTTGAGCATAACCGCGGAATGACACGCGGAGTTGCATTGCTGGAGACCTATAACCCCTAAATAACTGGATCGCTCAATTTTGTCTTTTTTCAACACACATACATCATGGCGGTGCCAGAGCCTCCACCACCGTCACTCATCTTTGATTTTGTTCAATTTGACGAGGATGATCCTGTTGACATGGCATGTCGATGTAATTTGATTCATTCATATGTATGGTCTTATTCTTGTGGCGTAATCGCACAAAATAGTCTAACTTGGGTTATTGCTATTATACCGTGCATGTTGCTCATTCTATAGGAGATGAGCCAAGCTTATAAGCAGCTCATGGAATCCATTCAGGGCATGTCCGAAATCGATATTCATAACCAGCTTCAAGCCTCCGCCTCAGTCAGCATGCAAAAACATGCAGAAATTATCAATGGTTTGTTGTACGGTATTCTCACATATAATAGCAACTCAGGAGGAAACCCCGGCAGCACCACTTCCTCTTTAGTGGTTCCTGCACAAAATGGCAACAGTAACAAACCGACCCCACCGGATCTTTTTCGACATATGAACTTTGTTGCGCGTGACTCTCTCGCATTTGCAGTCAAGCAGACGCGATACTTTTGTTCTCTCTTACATTTTCATAAAATTCGGCCTCAAGCCCGCGAACAGATACTTTGGCTTGTGGGTCAATTGACTGAAATTCGGGTTCATGGTGTTGAGCAACTTTATATGATTCTACTAAGGCAGATCCGCGGCGGCGACGTATCTCAGGCAAACGTACAGCATGCAGAGGCCATGCTTCGGCTACTTCAAACGCATCTCCAGCCTTGGGTATACTCAATTCCAATGCTAGTCGCCTACTCTTGTTTCACATATCTGAGGATCATGCTTGATCACGGTCGACTAACGAATCTTCGACAACAAGAAGCCATATTCTGCGCAAAACTATTAAGAGAGCGCTTCCGAGATTGTTCAGATATCGGGAGGGATCTAGTCAGAGCACTGCAGGATGTCGCAAGGATCAAAGAAATTGAAGAGATCTGGGTTGATCTGCTATACAGCCCGGAGAAACTGAATCCTCAACTTGAAGGCATTCACCAGCTCATGGCTATGCCATCGAAAGATATTTTTCTCGCAAGTCGACTGACATTTGACATGGAACACAAACTGCTTCATATTCTTAAATACGTAAGACACTTACAGTGCGTCCAACACTGCTTCCGGGAAAATTGGAGGGTTCACCCCTACTCACATGGGTACATACTTTCGCTATAGATTAACCTTGGACAACACAACAGAAACTTGCAGTGGCTCACTGAGAGGTATCTTACAGCACCTGAAACTGATGCTTTATATTGTGATATCATTCGCTACATCTGTGGCGTGTATCATCCAACGAATGCAGTTCTCGCAAGCAGTATTGTACCACGCTACGTCTTTATTGGTAGTCTCCTTCGTAACATCAAGGTAATGACACGCCAGCGAACAGAATATTCTTCAGCAATCCAGGTTGCCATGCTGACAGTCTGAGTTTTGTCCTCTGCCATAGTCCAATGTTTCAGCGGCCAATGTCAAACTCGCACTATTTTACGATTGGTTATTTTATGATCCATCTAAGGATAGTATTATGAATATCGGTAAGTTGCCATATCGTCCATGACGGCATGTTTGAAACGGTCAGAAGCACCACAAGTAAACTCAAATACATGTCTGAAAATGCATTAGAACCTGCAATGCTGCTCATGGAACGCTCAGTTGAGCGATATCCATACATGACTGCCATCCTCTTGGAATTTCTGCAGTTTACGGTCGACAACTATTACCCACCCTTACGTGAATACATCCAAAAGCATGTCGGGATGGCAGCTCAAGCACTGGTAGAGAAGGGTGTTATCAGGTATGACGGTTGAACTTTGAACGCAGCGGACGTTGCCATGTAGTCCAATTATATTCAGATATTCTTTATTTTTAAAAAAAAAAAAAAAAAAAAAAAAAAAAAAATTGAGAATAGATCTTTTCGATTCATTTACCGCTCACCGTCCCTTGAAGATTACCCTCCTGTCCGTGAATACATGTTGTCGCTATTCCCAGCACAGCTCGGAGACATAGCAGAAAACACTGCTGGATCACTAATAGGAGGGAGTATGTCTATGGAGAACATCGAAGACCACAGCATTCCTACACGTTCTGGAAGCGACAACGATGATAACGAGGGTGTGGATGAATTCGAAAGCTCACCGCCTCACTCAGGTTTTGTTGCACAGGGAATCGCAGGGCAGGATGGAGATGATGATGATGATGACCCTGATCAAAGAGATGTGAAGTCAAGAAGTCAGTCCAGAGAGTCTTCCAGGGAACCTATGTCAGTGGATGAGCAGGCTATCAAAGATGAATATGATGACATTGGAGGGGAAGAAGAAGTTATGGAATCTTATACAATTGAATCTGTTGCTCAAGACGCAACAGGGAAGCCTCACAATGCCAGTGTTCTCGCTGATTGGTCATTTACAGACGATTTGACGTCGGGCACAACAGCTGGCAAGGTTGCTGATGTCTCTTCTGGATCAAATCCTATTCCAGGAGCGTCTCTTTGGATTTTTGGCTCTAGTCTTCAAGAGTTCAAGAAAGCCTACGAAACAGATCCTGAAGCTCCTAGCACTGCAAAGATGTTTCGACATATCTGGGAGGTGTATGGTGATGTCGCAGGCGCTGGAGTGGAGGGGTCAGACATAGCTCATGAGATCGGTCAGGAAATTCTAGCATTTGCACATAAGGCAGAGATCCCCGAGTCCTATGTTTGCTCTGTGAGTGAAGATCAAGACGAAGATGCAGACGCTATGGAGCCGCTAATGTCATGTCTATGGAAGGTTACTGCAAGGGATGGCAAAGACGGCGCTTTGAGAGTTGCGCAAATGTTCTTGAGCAGTGAGGCCAACATCAATCCACGGTCGAGACAAATGGGGATGTGGTTTTTGCTTGGCTTACTTCGTGGACAAAAGCGTAGCAAGCCTAATGTTAATATATCCGTAGAACAGGTCTTGCAACTCTATGGATCATATATCAGAGCATCTGTTAGACAGGATCAGATGGATAACACTGAGGAGAGCAACGCTGAGGCATCTAGTGATTCCATGACCCTTGGACAACAATATCTTTTAGCAGATCTCCATAATCTGCACAGTCGTCAGACAGCGATCTTTGATAGCTTGCTACCACTAGTGCTCGAGTATCTTCCAGAACTTATCCCTAGAACGGAGGCTTTCTTGAAATTGATGCTTATCATGGCGACACCGACTCAGATCTATCGGCTCTCAACAGGACTTGCTGGTCGGACTTTCTGGTTGATATCAACACCAGTGACCTCAAGGGTAATAGAACAAGAAGATAAGGAGAGTAAAAAGGGGACCAAGATTACACGAGCTATGAAGAAGAAGAATGCATCTCAAGAGAAGACTGATGAACTGGAGACTGACTCGCATTCATTAGCAGATGGAAGGAAACTGACAATTACACCTCAAGCGCTCATGGTTCTCGAGCAGACTCTGAGTTGGGAAACATATGAGCAACTGGGTCTCTGGCAACTGATTCTATCAGAGATTGGCGGAGTATCAGAAGCCGTTGTATCTCTTCTTAACGCCAATTGGGTTCCCAACATGAATACAGAATCTAAAGCAGAAGCAATGAGTGGTTTGTTGAATTTGGTTCGCTCGCTGGCAGTGATGCCGCCGACAGTCAGTCTTGGACGGGCGATAGCCAGGATTGCAGCCCAAACCGAGATAATATCTGAGGAGATGAGACAGTTTTGCGAGTCACATATCGCCTTATGGGCGAGAGGATATCCTGACCACGTAGCCGCCATTCTACTGTCACTCAGCGATAAGACCTCTGCTCCTGTAAACCCGATAATCGCGGCAACATTAGACTCATCTATTTCTGCCGATGGTGATCTCGAGATGGAAGATGTATCTATGAAAAGCAAAATGCTATCCAAAAATACTCGTACCAAGAACGGAAGTGCTACAGTAGCCAAGACGAAGCTGACCCCAACTCAGAGGAAGGAACAAGCAACGCATCTGCGTGCTGTATTATCACTTTTACAAGTTTGGTGGGATGATATGGGTTTATCATTGTCATCATCATCAACAAAAGGGATGCCTTTGACATCTATGGCAAAACGACTGTTTTCACGGATATGGCCCCAACAAGTCCAGACTCAAGTGCTCGAAGCGTTAACAGAATCCTTCGGCACCAAAGAAAAGAACTCTTGGCCCGAGGAATGGTGGGTTAAAGAGAATGAAGACAACAAAAACCGACGAAGAGGGGGACGGAGAGATGGCAAGAGCGAAGATGATGGCGAAAATGAAGGGAGTGAGGACAATGATGGCGAGGATAGCGCCGATCAAAGTGACGATGATGAAGAGAAGGAAGAAGCCAATCAAGGTGGCGAGAGCGATGGAGAACAGAACAGTGATAATGAGAAGAAGAGCAAAGATAAGAAACGGTTCGGAGGGGCAGCCTCGAGCTCGGCTGGATCGAGTCGTCGAAATAGTCCCAAAGTTGGTTCGGGTATCTTATTCGGCAGCAGCAATAGTGGCACTAAGAAAATCTCCACAGTGGGGTCTACACCTGCTGCTAAGGGTGTTTTAGGTTCCAGGTCTCGTGGCAAAAGTTCACCCGCACCATCTACCAGGAAAACACCAGCAAAGAGAGTAGTAGCGACGCGAAAACGAAAGATTTCAGAAGACGACGATGAAGAAGAGGATCAGCACGAAGACGAAGAGGAGGAAGAAGAGGAGGACGATCAGGAAGGTGAAGAAGAAGAAAATGAAGAGGATGATGAGGATGATGAAGGTGAGGATGAAGATGACACAAAAATTAGGAAAAGGACAACCAAACGCCCAACAGAGAATTCAGCGAAGAATCCAAAGACTAGGCTAACTAGTCGGAACAAATCCAACACTATTGGGAAGCGTCGGATCTTGTCTGAAGACGAAAGCGATGACTGAAGCGTTGCAATAAAGACTTAATGACTTTTATTTCATTATACTACATATTTTACTAGTACTATTATCGTTATAATTAAATATTACTACGTTTTTGATTAAATCAATTGCCCATGCATTAATTATTTATTATGCCTGCCGTCGTCCAAAGTATTTTGGTGCAGCCTGTGACAACCATGCACTTTCAAGCGCACTAACTCCTCGAATATAATGCTTTGTAGTAAAGACAAGCTCATTGTACATGATCGCTTCTCTTTTCTTTCCAAACAATGAACTTGATGGGTGTATGCTGACGGTTTGTCCTCCAATGACACTCTTGTATGTTCCGTCTGGTTGTAATAATGCTGTGTTTTGAAAGAATCCAGCCAGGAAACACTTGAGAACGATCTCTAAATCTTGTCCACAAGTCCTCTTAGGATCCATCCCAGATCGCTCACAGAACTGAATAAGCTGCTTACGTACATCTATGACATGACGCATATGACGAGAATTTATAAAATTTTCACGGCACCAGTCTCGATCGCCTTTGACAGACTCGTAAGCTCGAAGAGTGTTCAGAAGCGTTAGATGATCACCATCAAGCGAGACAAACTTTTGACGGGCCTCATTCGCTTCTTCACGCTTGGCTGATGGGGACGAAAAAATACTGTCGACAGAGAGCAAGGAGATAATTTCAATAGCTTCCTTCGTGCATTCCATTTTCTATTTAGATTATTAGAATCGATATCAAGATTCAAAAGAAGCAACGTGTCAACCCAACTGTTAGAAATAATAGAAAAAATATATTCTCACCATATCAAGGTTAGGCGTTATCTACCTCAGACTGGAGAAGGACCTTGGCGTAGGGTGGGTCCACTGGGAATGCAGCCATCTTCTTGCCGATTTCTGTGAGTTTGCCTTCATCATCGAGTGCTTCAAGTGCATACAAATGCTCTAATGACCTCAGCATTCCTGACTTGGGTGGCCGATCCATAAAATCGAACCCCGTCACATCATCAATACCAGTTGCCTTAAGTGATAGAATAGCAGATTCCAGATTACATCGCTTAATCTCTGGGACAGCGTCCTCTTCCAGTTCATCAAATGCGTCCTCTGTATACAGACGGAAACAGATTCCTGGCGCCTCACGACCTGCACGGCCCATCCGCTGCCTTGCAGATGATTTGGAGATGGGTTCTACCAAGAGTGATTCTATTCCAATTTTGGCGTTGTATCCACGAGACTTATGACATCCCGTATCGATTACATAGCGAATGTTGGGAATTGTAATAGATGTTTCTGCAATATTGGTAGCCAAAATAACTTTACGTGTTCCTGGAGGTGCGGGTTCAAAAATACGCTGCTGCGTTGTCGAATCCTGTGCAGCGAAAATAGGGCAGGGAATAAGTTTGCCGACATGTGGTGGGAGATCAGTTGCATATTCTTCGATCAACTTCTCAAGATTTTCAATTTCTTCTTGTCCTGTCAAAAAAATAAGAATATCACCAGGGGCTTCTTCTTGATGGATTTGGAAGGCAGTGACGAGTGCAGAATCAACGTAGTCGGATTGAGGTTCAACTGTATTTAGGATCTTGACCGGGTACATGCGTCCAGAAATGTACATGATCTTTGCACTACGTTTTACCCAAATGGTTATTTCTTTGTGCAATTGATGGACTTTCAAAAAAAAAAAAAAAAAAAAAAAAACATATAGATCCTACTTGTAAAAGTACTCCGAAAACTTCTCTGCATCCAAAGTTGCGCTCATGACCACGATTTTAAGAGGTTGAACATCTCTCCTTCCTTGCTCGATCATGTCTTGCCTCTGTTTTTGAATGGACTTGACCATACCAAATAGAATATCTGTCCTTAGAGTCCTTTCATGAGCCTCATCCAGAATGATGACAGAGTACCGAAGCAATAATCGATCTGAAAGCAATTCACGCAGCATGATGCCGTCTGTCATGTACTTGATCAATGAATCTCTAGATGAAGCGTCATCGAATCGAATGCTATAACCAACTTTCTGACCTATCGGGGTCCCGACTTCTTCTGCAACACGTTTCGCAAGGTTGATGGCAGCCACACGACGCGGCTGTGTAACAGCAATAGTTCCGTGAGCTGCCATCCCGGCTTCAAGTAGGTACTGAGGAATCTGTGTTGTTTTGCCGGATCCAGTTTCACCGACAATGACAACACACGCATTTTCTTTGACCTCTTTGATGATAATGTCACGGGCTTAATAAGAAACAATATGCATTCTCCTTTAGGTTTCAATGTCCAAAACAGCTAACTTCCAGGATACAAACTGCAATACTAATGAGGTGACTGAAGTCTTACCTGTGTAAATTGGGAGTGCTTGCCGGTGCTTCTTCAATTCCTTGGCTTTCTGGATAACTGCATCTGTGGCTAGTTCCCTAATGGCAAGCTTTGTTGGGTGTGCTAGATCTTGATGCTGTAGCCTCTTTTTTTGCTTCTTTGCTAATGGCAAGAACTCTGTACCTGAAGGCTGTTCTTTAACTGGATCGGCTAATAAAGATGACTCTGGTGTTGAGGAAGTTGGCGAAGGTTTGTCTCGAGCGTTCTTGGAAACACCATTTAATATTTGTGAACTATCTCTCTTCCTCTGTTTGCTGACAACCTCTGCTCGTAATATTGGTTCACCGTCGCCGTCGAAGGTGATTACATTTCTTTTCGCACTCTGAACATTGTTGAACATTGTTGAACTGTATAATGGATGAATAGAAAGCACTGAAACACTTTGGTTCCTGTTCTTTGTGCTTTATTTACTATAGTGACTGTGCACTGCAGGCCCATTAACGTCTTTCGTGTTCCACCTGTGTAGCGAACTTCTCATCTTTTCAAAGTAGAACGGATGTCCAAGCTGCACAATGGCGACTCTGACGACCAATAACAAGATCAAGGATCTCTCCGCAGTCAAGATTCAACTTGAGAAAGAGATCTGTTCATTGATTTCAGACGTACAAGGTCCGTGCCTGCTTTTTAACTGACGAAGGCAATATAAACATGCCGATTCGAGCACAGGCTATCTCGTAAGCTTGATCGTATTCCCTAGTCAGACTAATTCCACAAAAAAATCAACTAGAGCTCAACTTGTCCGTCATTGAAAGGGTAGAGCTCCCTACACCCCTGGAGTTCCATCGCTACGTTGCTGCAAACCGCCCCGTCATCATCACTCTCCCTCCCTCCACAACCACTATCTCTGAATCTTCTCAACATGTCGAACTTACAGAAGAAGGGAAACAATGGCTTTGGCCAGCCTTCGCAAAATGGACCAACGAGTACCTGTCCCACACCTTAGGATCCAAGGAAATTACTGTTGCCTGTACACCTAATGGCTGGGCGGACGCTGTGGTGGATGATTTATATTTTGCAATGCCCTGCGAGAAAAAAATGTCTTTTGAGCAGTTCTTGGATAGAATGCCAGTTCGTACAAAAAAACCAAAGAACCCAAGCGATTTAACTAGCCAAATGACAGGGAGTAAAAGTAATGACTTTGTAAAAGATAACTCATGCGGGGTCGTTGATCCATATCAGGAAGTGCACTATATTCAATTGCAGAATGGCAATCTGATGGCGGAGTATCAAGAGCTACTGGGAGATATTCCTAGTGACATTCCATTTGCAAGCGAAGCCCTTGGCAAGAAACCAGATGCCGTCAACTTCTGGTATGGAGATGAACGAAGTATTACCTCGCTTCATAAAGGTATTCATTCACCATTTATTTGTGAAAATGGCAATCGCTCTTCTCTCCGCCTTAGAAAATCATGTAAAATTTTTTTTTATTTCAAAAAACTAAATAATGGTGATTATCTTGGATAGACCATTACGAAAATATCTATGCTGTTATCACCGGAAAAAAAGTCTTCACGCTAATACCACCATCAGAACAGTATTGTCTACATGGTAAGATGGAGTCTTCGCACTTTCTCTTTTTTTGCTTTGTGCGTAGTTTTACATATTTTTTAAATATTCGTTGAACCATTTTCTAGAAAAACATTATGTTGCTGCGACATATACTGATGTCAAGGATTCAAATATGTCAGCGTCATCCTCAGCCGTCCCTACAAACTCACCGCGGTATAAACTGGAGCCTTTGGAGCCCTCAACTTACACGAAATGGATTGCTCTTAACCCATCACACGAACCGAAAGAAGAGCTTTTTTCAAAATACCCTCGTTTCCGCTTCTGCCAACCCTTCAAAGTAGAGATTAATCCAGGAGAACTGCTATACTTGCCAGCAATGTGGTACCATCAGGTAGAACAAGAGTCCGATCACGAAGGCAAATGCATCGCAGTAAACTGGTGGTACGATATGGGCTTTGAAGGGGACAGATTCGCCACAGCAACTTTTATCTCGAAACTTGTTCAACTAGTAGATCAAATAGAAGACAAATTCTCATAGGAAAAAAATAAAGTGTGATGTTATACATGGATAGTACGGTAATGAAGGAAGAGGCTGTGCTTCCAGAGCGAGAGTCACTCAATTTCTATTATGTAAGAGCACCACCTCCAGAAATTCTGCGGATTCTGTGGCAGTGTTTCTGCATCATTTCTTTCTTTAATCACATTGATCCATCTGAATGCCGCCTAAACCACGCCTTACTCATTTCTTGGCTATACCACTGTACACCTCACTGTCAGCTGGTCAGCTGAATGCCTCGCTTTCTCGATTTGCTGCAGAAGTGACAGGCACAGTTGTAGGTTCGAACGCAACTGCTGCAGTAGAAGCTGCAACAGACTTAGAATCTGCCATGGATGTGTTGTCAGGAGTGAATTCTTATTGCAATGGTGATATCATTGATTCTAAAACCTCATCCTCATGGATCCCAAAAGAAGCACTGCGGCCTATCCCATCTTTACATTTGACGCTTGGCGTCATGAGTCTATGCACTTCACAGCAGCTTGAGGAGGCGGTCCAATTTTTAAAGGCAGTAAATTTGGAGGCTCTACTTGATGATGCTGCTGCTGTTGCCACTAGTGTTGGTACTATTAGTACTAACACTGCAAGTTATGATACTGGACGCTCGCAAAGACGAGAGCCAACCAAGAATAATCAGCAATATAAGGGCCCAGTAGACTGCCAGACATCTCAACAGCAGCTAAAGCAGCCATTAGTCATCACACTTCGAGGACTTTTGCCTATGCAAGCACCACATTCCACTTCTGTCCTATATGCAGCACCATACGATCCTTCGGGACGGCTTCAGACCTTTTGTGAGTCACTGCAGAAAATGTTTGTAGCAGCAGGCTTTGTGCTCCCGGACCAACGACCACTCAAGCTACATGGAACGATCGTCAACAGTCTTCATGCTCGTTCTTACAGAGACAGAGTGACTGTGGCTGAGAGGGGAAGTCGTTTGGACAGTGGTGCTCGTCAAGGAAGAAGAGATGAGAGAAAGACACCAAAAAAGCCGTTGAAGCTCGATGCAAGAAACTTGATCGAGAGTTGGAAAGATGAAGTTTGGGCTGAGGTCGAAATCGAGAAAGTGGCTATTTGTGAGATAGGCGTAAAACCGGACCCAACAGATGGTCTTATGAAGTATCGAGATATTGCATGGCTAGATATGCCTTAACTCCCTGACTATTCTGCTAATTGTTAAGAAAAGTGTATCCAGTTTATGTAACATTAAAAAAGCCAGTCGCGCTTCGATATGCCTTGGCTCAAGTCTTAGTTTCATAACTGAGATGCTAAAGACTCTATCCACTTTTGTAGAGCACGCATCTGTTGTACTTTAGGAAATAGGCTAGAGAGCCTCGGTAGCGACCTCTTGAAGAGTGCAGCTGATGTTTCGCTTGACGTAATTAAGTAAGCTCTTGACATCAAGAGGTACGAGGATAGGTCTCCCGCTAGGAGGCTTTTTGAGGCAACAGCGCCTTCTTTTCCTTATTTACTGTTTAAATAAAGAGGCTATGAGTCTTCGCAGTCTTGTTAAGAAGGGTGCCGGCTTCATAGGCCCCGACGATCCTACCTTTCCATTCGCTGGAGGGTTGTGTAGGTATGACGTTTGAGAGACAGAGTGATGTAGAAAAGTTCCACAGCATCTCAATACCCATCTTATTTTATTCTGTTTCTCATCATTGGCCCCAACTAACTTTTTCGATACGGAGACCTGCTGCGTGCTGTCTCTGTCATAATCCATGCCGGATCCATGCTGCACCATAGGTCACCAGAAGCTTGGAGCAGCTCAAATGGTCTTTAGCACTATCTAGAATATTATAATATCCTTGAGTGTATATGTCGGCATTATTCCTCCACATCTACGTCCCTGTTCTTAGCTACGTTAGTTCACTATTTTGAACCAGAGTGGCAAGACTTTGCTTACAAATATTGACGCCTTGTCCCATTCATGTACTAATTTTAATGATTGAGGAATAATGATGCCAGCTCCTACCCTTACGCCACTTGGATGATTTCGTGGATCAGGTGGATACAAATGCAAATAGCAGCAAGAAGTCGAAGTTGGCAGGAATATTTGTCGCTTTGTCCAACTATTAGTCATTTCATTTATAGACACCTTGGGACTACTGCCTGTTGATTCTGTTCCTTAGAAACCTCGTCAACGCTAGCGGCGTCTCCCCGCTCCAAACACGGACCGCTTTATTTGACCGTGCTATGAACTTTTTGCGCTCGCTTGAGGTTGGGATATCAGGCGTTTTTAGACTGGAGAGCATATTCTGGGCATCCATGGTTTCCCTGTTGCGTTGTTGCGCTTGAGTATAAATGACTCTAGTCTTTCACGGTGAACTATTCCTTCTCTCTAGTGTATACCCTATCGAAATGCAACATGGTTGCTCCCTTGAGGAATGCTGCTCTGGTGCAGTCCATGTATTTACAATGTTGCAATGTTGAGAAGGTTGCTGAAAACGAAAGATATTGCAGTAAATGAAAAAACTTGAGAGGCAGCACAACTTAAATAGAGACCCCATAATGCTACACTGGCCTCTTGTTACTTTTTTAGGTCTCCAATGTCCATGCCATGTTGCAGTTTAATTTATGCATAGCTAATTTTTAGTGATCTTGGGCGAAGTCATTTTCTTCAGGCAACTATTAAAAAAACACGAACTATGGAAAGTAGCCATGGGGCTATGGCTATTTAAGTCTTTAGGTGGATAGAGGAGAGGGATTTATTGATACCTAAAGCATAACTCTTCAACCTCTATTACTGATATATATCCACTGGGGACAATTCAAGCCCAAAGGCCCACTTGCCAATCGCAACCCTGCCGAACAATTAGGGTAATTGGTGTGTACAAAGTCTACTTTAGCTATAGTGTGATATATATGGTCTTTATTCTCCTTTTGCGAAAGAGGCTTTGGTTCAAGGTAGACTGGTGGAGGAGTTGGGGTAGCGAGCTTAACAGCAGCAGTTTGATGGTATAAGCTTGGCGTAACCAAGGGAACCAATGTCTCCTGCGTCTGGGGAAGCTCCAGCTTATCTTCTTGAGTAGAATAAACACAACTGTGCTGAGAAGAGCGACCTGTGTCCATGCAAACCACGCAGTCAAGCTCGCCTACAAGCTTAGTTCCAGTTTTGCCTCTTTTTTAAGTCTTCTTTCCTCCTGTTTTTCTTTCTCCTATTCTCTCTCTTGCTCAAGAGAATCAAGCAGGACGCACTCGTTAATGGACCTGTAGGCTCTGTCTTCTCTTCACCCTCTGCATGCTCCGCTTGCTGGCCCGCTAGCCCCCCCCCCTCACGGGTCGTGCTTGGATCGCATGTGGCACAGCCCACCGGGATCTCGTACTCAGATGATGCGTCGTACACCCGATGTGAAGCCGCTCGACGGAGGAATGGTTTTCGAGTGGTTCGGGCCGCCATAAATAGAGTGAGCGCGCTTGACAGGCAACTGATTTGTGGGAGGTTCAATAGACGCCCAACGTGTGGAACGTGTGGTAGGTATAATAATCTTTTTTTTTTTAAAGTTGAACAGATAAAATAAACGAAAGCAATGAAGCAAAGGTCTTGAAAGGAATGAAAGCAGGACCCAAAGATATAGGTGTATTAAGAATTAAAACATTAAAACAAAGAGAACAAGTTCACGTTTTAAATCTAGACGTGGTCTTGGATAAAGTTGAAAGTTAAATAAATAAATAGACAACAAATTACATTTTGGCATCCAGTAGGTCCATCCGTGTTTTCTTGCCGAGATATCCAATCACTCTAAATGGAATAGACTTTCATTGACTAAAATATTACTGCCACTCACAGATGCTTATTTATGTTGTTTGTTTATTTATGGTATCAATGAAGCCACTCCTCTTGAGACAGCCATCTGATTTTTTCGTCTTTTTTTAATATATAAAAGATTTATAAATCGAAGATCTCGTTCTATTAATGGCACCTTTCACTGGTTTCTTCGCTTGAGCCGTCTGGTTCCGCAAGTGCATTATGGTCTGCTACGGTATCTACCTGTGTGGATGTCGGCGTTGGGACTCGTGTTTGCAGCGTGGGCTCTATCAACAAGCCCATCTTCAGGCCTTGGCCCCAATCTTCATGCCGCTCTAATACCAATGGGGTGATAAGAATGCTGCTGTTGCTGCTATTGACATGCTTCATCGTCAGAGGGCTGGGCTGCGGATGATCCTTACTCTTTTCGATATTTCCCATACTTATGGTAGCACTGATAGCACTACCTCGTCTGCTTGAATTTATGGGAACCTGTTGCTCCTTTTCGGTCGCACTATGCTGATATCGCTGCGAGCGATCATTACTAGCGCTGGCTCCAAGACTACTGCTACTACTCTTTTTGATAGGCGTTGCTGTCTTAGGTCCATTACCGTTGCTGTTATTATTACTACAGGTACTACTACTCGATGTCACACCTGGGCTCGCACGCATTAACATCATAGACAGCACGCCTGGGCCAATGGACTGAGCTGCCAAACTGGCTGTACTTCCATTTCTTGATCCTACTTTGGATTCGGATTTTGATCCCGGCAATTTGGTGAACGATCCATTTCCAAACCCAAAGATCGTATGTCCTGAGCCTGTTGGCGCAGTAGTCGGCATTAGTGGCTGGACTGGAATCGAAGCTCGAATTGGCGCTTGCACTTGTGATGGCGGATGTGTCAAGGTTGCTGTTGATACTGGAAGGCTGCTGTTGATTGTCATGGGGGGGGGTTGTGGCTGATTTCCTCCCGCATTCATCAAAGGAGAGGCAGAAAGTGATGATGTTCCTTCATTTATGTGACTCATTGTTGTTAGCATTGTCGGCGCTGCTGCTGAGCTCGCTCGCGACCTTGACTTCGACCGGGATCGAGTTAAAGACCCCAATCCAAATAGATATCCTGCACTGCTCTCACGTCGAGCCTCTCGAGGGCGCTCTCCTTTACTACTCTCGCTAGTTAAGATACTTGAGGACAACGACATACTGGGACCTCCAGCCATGACTGAGCCCACTGCTCCACCAGATGGCATGGCATTAGTATCGCAATTGCTGGAATATTTACTTCCCCCGGCACTAAGTGACTGAATCATGCTTTTGAGTGTCCCTGGAGTTGACGAACCAGATCCCAGACTACCATACCCCGAATTCAGTGTGCCATGGCTGTCATACACTTCCGTATCAAGGTCAATACCTTGTACCGCTGCTGTTGCCACAGCTATAGCTGCACCAGATAGGCTCTTGCTTTGGTTCATCATAGCCTCCATATTGACATCATTTAGCAATGTCACATTCTTATATGAAAAGCTTTCGAACTCTGAATCAATACTCAGGGATCGCTGCATTGCAGTGCCACTATTGTCGCCACGGCGTTGCTGGTCCAATATGTCGCGATCCATTTCATCTTGATGAAGATCTAGATCCGGTAAAGGATTTCGGGAACGCGATGGTCGACAAGAATGAGGCCTCGATCGAGTATTATCGTCACGCCCATGATCCAGTCCTAGGCGTTTTTTTGTAGCATTGGCTGAATGTAGCTGATATTGTGGTGGATTAGGCATAGATTGATTGGTCTCGTCAGCCTTAAGCGCTGCTAAAGGTGAGCCCGACAGCGTAGGCTGCGATTGTGCAACTTGCTGCTGTAGATGTAGTTGCAGAGCCCAAGTCGACTCATTCGATTTAAAGCCTTGTTGCTGGCTAGACCGATAGTGGAGCTTTGTATCGATGCTATCAAGATTAGGGGATGATGGCTGCTCTTGCTGACGCTGTCGTAGCTGCTGGTGTTGCACTGGCACAATGCTGTTTTCAGCAGCATTGCAGGGCGGCAAGGGTTCTATCATGCCCGTTGTGGACATATCAGCTATCGGTGCAAGTTCCCGAAGATCTGTCACATCACTTCCACACCTGTATGCAGCATTATGTGGGCCTAACGAGCGCTGGGCAGAAGTCCTCAGGTCGCTGCTATTTGGATCGGCTTTCAAAACTGACTGTCTCTTCTGGCTCGGGAGCATGCGCTGACAACCTTGCATAGTAAGGCACTCAGTCATGAGCTCGTTTCCATTACCTTCAGAAGGTGGAATAGAGGACACAAAAGACTGCTGCTGTGCCCTTAGCCCATTCTCGATCTGCTTTGCAAGCGGGGATCCAAGAGGCTGCTCTGCAAGGAATGGTGGTCTTTCAATACTTGTACGTGTAAGTTCAGGGGACTGCGGCTTTATTTGGTGGATGGATGTGGAAGAGGAGAGTGTTGAAAGCGAGGATGATCCAAACCCCGGCGAGAATGAGACACGGTTAGACACTGATTTTGATCGACCATGATTCGTTAGCCGAGGGCGTGTGATTTGGGTGGAAGCTTTATCTACCACTAAAGGGACTGTAGCCGCAAATTCTAAGCCTATTCCTGATGTAGATGGTATCCCTGTCTCAGGCATGACGAGTGGTGACTCACACAAGGCCACAGTCGAATCCATTTGCCCTTGGGACACCCTAGACTCCAAACTTGCCGTCTCTGATATGGTGAGAGCGGCAGCGTCACCGTCTGCTGCTTGACCTGAGGAAATCTCTGCAATGTTTCCGCCTGATAGCCGTCTGATGTCTGGCCTAGCGTTCCTTGCTAAGTTACATTAATAGATGTCAAAAAGATAATATCAGTACAAGAGGAATAAGCTTTCTAGCTTATTCCGGCTATTTCATTTTTTCATAATAGTACCATCAAAATAACTAGTGTCCATATTGTCGTTTGGTGCGGGGATGAACGGGGCTTCTTGATTTCTAATATTATCCCAATCGACTCCACGGAAGAATGGGTGAGCCTTCAGTTCTGTAGGAGATGGCCGATGCGAGGGGTCTCTGCTAAGCAGTTTGTTGATCAAATCGTGGGCCTCAGGCGAAAGCCCATATTCAGGCCATTGGATATCTGGTTTTATGGACGACAAAAAAAAAAAAAAAAAAAGCTACAAAATCAGTTTTCGAATACAAAATACTCAAATAAGCCTGATGCCTTCGCAAGTGCGATCCAGGCATTACATTACCATGATTAAGGATGTTCTTAAAGATCGCTTCTGGTGCTTCATCCATGAATGGTGGATATCCAGTCAAGAATTCAAACAAGCAAACACCCAGAGACCACCAGTCCACGGCCGTCCCATGCCCTATCCCCAACAGAAGTTCTGGGGCGAGGTAATCAGGGGTCCCCAACAAGGCCTTACTGCTCCCACGATGCCTTCGTGCAGCCCTTCCTGGAAGAGTACCAGCATGATATGTAGAAGATGCAAGTGGGATTGACGAAGTGGCACCTTTGTTCGCTCCAGCGCCTTGGCCTCTGCCATTTATATTCTCGACTATAGGTGGCCTTTTCCCTATAGATCCTTTCATAGAACCACTAGAAATAGAGGCGATAGTCCTAGAGACACGTCTTCTGCTTAACGATGGAGCCTTGTACTCATTCCCGCTGAATATATCATCCTTGTCTGGGACAGTAATACGGCTTAGACCAAAGTCTGTAAGCTTGATATGGCCTTCAGCGTTCACAAGCATGTTGTCTGGTTTAAGATCGCGGTGCGTAATTCCATTAGAATGAAGGTATTCAAGAGCCAAAATACATTCTGCTATGTACATCTTAGCCATATCTTCGTCAAATGATCCAAATACTGCCAATAACGAACTGAGATCTCCCCCTATTACATACTCCATAACAAGATAGAGATAATCCTTGCTGGCAAAAGCATAAAACAACTGTACAACAAATGGCGTCCTCGTCAGGGCTAAGACACGCCTCTCAGCCAGAACGTGATTGACCATGTTCTTGCGAACCATATCTGCCTTCTTCAAGATTTTGATCGCATAGAGATCCTTGGTCGTCTTTTTCCGCGCAAGATATACTTTGCTGTAAGTTACAATAGAAGTATTAATAGTGGTAATAAAAACATTTAGTATGCGTGATCCATACATACAACGAATGTCCCAAACCATTTTAAAAGAACCAGCTACTGACCCAAAGGCGCCACGGCTAATGGGCTTGATGATCTCAAAATCCTGTATGCTTGGGACACGGCTCTTGTAAGGAGGAGTAGAACTGTTGGTTGGTGGAGACAGCACGCCGCCGCCGCCAGGGCCAAATAGCCCGCCTCGGCCAAACTCACTATCGCCTGAGTGGCTCCTAGATTGGCCTGCTAAATTATTGTTGATGCGCTGGCGTGACGCACGCAAGAATGCAGCAAAGATAGTGCTAAAATTCTTGCTGGGCTTCTCTATGGGAGTCGTTGGAAACGTTGGCGGCGTTTGAATAAATGCGTTTGGTATCGACCCAGATCGGCCTTTCCTTGTTACCGTAATACCCCCAGTATGACCTCCATTCAATGCGGATATCGCTCCATCTACATCTAGCAGAGTAAACCAAAGATGGACGGACGATTAATAGTTTTTATAAACCACATAAAACTACCCGTAGATACATAAAAAAAAAAAGAAACAAAGAGAGAAGGATCAAGCAATGTACAGAAAAGGAAACTAATACCAGCGGCTGAGAAGTTTGACTTAGTACTTTCTCGCCATGTATAGCTTGAAAACCCACCCTGATCAGCCCACATTCCAGGACCAGTTCGTTTTCCTGAAATGCTTAGAGTAGTCTGCGATAATGGTAGAGGCGGCTTTGTGGAATAGTTCATGCCGTCCTTGACTTTGGACTTTGATTTCTTCCTTCCGCCCCAAAACGATGTTGAGGCCGACTGGTTTTCGCTTTGAGTGCTGATAGCATTGGCACTTTGTGATCGGCTGATGTTACCTGAGCCATCGAGACCAGCATCGCGGATAGTCAGTAGCACCAGTTGGTCTTGGATTATTTGCATAGTTGACAGCTTTTCGCGAATGACGTGAGAAATCTTCTTACAGATGCTAAATAACTCCTCATCATAGGCAGAATTGCGAGACTCTTGCAGAATACTATTGATCTTGTGGTGATACTTCTCCAACTTTCGAATAGCATGGCGCGGGTTAGTCTCGAGTACAAGGCAGGACTTCTCGGACAGTGTCTGAATTTTCTCCGAATCCCGCAGACTATAGTAATCCACATATGGTCGATTCATCGCTACGATCAGCTGCTTACGTTGCCAAACACAGGCACTAAGCTTACCAAGAGCGTGATTACAGCTCTCGAGTTTTTGGCTGCATTCATGCTGAAGCTTACAGATTTCACTGTGTCGATCCAGGAAGGATATCAAAATATCCTCATCACAAATTCTACAAACTGTCAAGCTCACATTATCCATCGTACCTCCAGTCAAGTCAGGTCGGGAGGTCTCTGACCTGGTCATTTGGATAGACGCCGAGTCACTCGTCTGTGGCCGCAGCAAAGACGCTGAGGTCACAGATGCTCGGTGCCGCAGCGCAAAAGGCGCAGGCTTACCTACTACTGTAGAAGGCGGTGCCGGTCCAGGTGATGAAGGCGATCTCGGCGATGACTGGGGTAATAAAGGCGACATAGGCGAAACTGGCTTTTCGTGAGAGCCAAGTAGCTGCTGGCACTGCGGCTGTTGTTGTAGCTGTAGTTGCTGTTGCTGCTGTTGGTTGAACATAGATTTGATGGACTTGAATAGGCTTAGAGCTGACTTTTTTCGTTCCGATGGCTTCTTGACCTTGCCTGATGCGCCTACCATACCAGAGCTATCACTCTCGCTAGCAGCATCCTTGCTCTCTACTCTTTGCAGGCCCCCATCAAACGAGCAGATAGAGTTAGAGCTGGGGGCTGTGGCCACAGCTATCAATGACCGCTGCAGTGGCGATGGCACTGCCGCTGTTAATCCTGACTCTGCCGGCTCTATTACTGCTGTCCCCGCCGTTGTCGCTGCTGTCGCTGTTGCTGTTGCTGCTCCCGTTGCTCCCGTTGATCCTGCTGTTGTTGTTGCTGTTGTTGCTGTTGTTGCTGTTGTTGCTGTTGTGGGCGAGCCAGAAGAGGGCTCACTGGAAAAGGCAGGGGAAGTAGAGGGCTTAGTCTCAGACTGGGTCGTCCTTGACAAAGGAGGCGCTGATGATCTTTTGCTTGGCAATCTGGGCAAAGCCAAGGTAGTGCCTACAGATTGTAGCTGGATTTCTCCAGTAGAAAATGCGTTTGCATGTTGAGCTACGACGCACTGGGAGGGGGTGAAGCTCTCACTCTTGGCCGCAAGATGCTGTTCAAGGGATGAGTCTGATATTGCTGATATTTTTGGGGACTGATGAATCATTGTTATTTCCTTTGGCTCATTCGAAGCTGAACTAGGTGTAAGCGGCCCTGCACTTTGTACCTCTTCCTTCGAAGGCTCGTCGGGTGCCAAAACACACTTTACTCCTTTATCGTGCTGCACAGGCATCGCAGGTGATGGCAATGGTGACCAGTCAGCATATGGAAATGGTGAGGTCCTATCCAATTGGTCTTCATTCAGGCGCTGCTCATGCTACATGTGTTTAAAAAATGATATAAAATGTGTAAAATATGTCAGCACCACCTCTCTAGTAAGTATGACTAAGCATTGATGCCTAAAAAATAAATAATGAAAATGGCTTATATCCTTACAAGGCGCTCTGCCAAGCGACAGACGGGTGCAAACACATATACGAGCTTTGTGAGGAGATCCTCTGCCTCTGCATTCCCGACAGCCATCCGACGCTGTCGGTCCATGAGAGCCTGTAATGATTTCATGATGTCCAATGCCTTTAGCGGATGCGTCATGATAGCTGTAACAGGAGTATGTAAGATTTGCTGGGAGATGCACTCGATCGAGATTAAAAGCGTTGTATGTGAGCTGGCGAGAATAGTGGGCGGCCAACTGTTAGATGCAATAATGCGCCGAGAGAGAATAGAACGCTTCTTGGACACGTTACGCAAACTGACTTCGTCCGTCTCTGTTAGGGCATCTACACTGAATGGAGTAATAGATGGCTTTCTAGTCACTTCGGTATCCTTGGCTCCAAAACTGTCCTCGAAGTTGGCATTCATTTGGCACTCTGCACCCCACATTAAATGAGGATCAGTATGGCTAATACTGTTATGGCGTGAGGACATTCTCGTAACAGCGCCACTCTTTACGGATAGAGGCACTCTATCTAATGGGCCAATGCTACTTTCATACCAGCTTTCGTATGACTGAAATGATGATGACATCCCTTGAAGGTCTTCCATGATATTCCAGTGATTATTAGGATCCATTGTGGATCTATCCTCTGTCCATTTTGATCCGTACGACTCTGACACCTCTTGTTGGAAAGAGAGGCACGCCACATCTTTATCCCGTTTGCACTCATACCAACCATCCAATATAATACGAATTTCAGCATCGCTCTTAGATTTAGCAAGCACCATCTCGTGGTACAATGCATTAGCGGCATTAAGCTCATTGGTATCATCCATGAACCCAATCTGTGAGACTAAATTCTGCGGAGCATTTGCTGACAGGTCAGGGAAGAAGGCGGGCAAAGAGTTAGAAGTGGCTAGTGACGTGCCTCCGAAGGCGCTCAATGTCGGTGAGGACAGTAATTTGTCGAGCTTTGTAGAGCCAGTTCCATTGTTAGAAGCGGTTGTATTATCAGAGTCGTACTCTAAACGCAATGGGGTCCGTGGAGGAGGATGGAATCCTCTAACAGGAATCTGCCTTTGTCTCACATCATCTTCTATATCCGAGTCTGAGAAAACCCTGTCAATCGATGACTTCCTGTTGAGAATTTTCCCGCCCCAAGTGTCTGAATCGCTGTCAGTTGTGTAGTAATTCTCTTGGTCTGATGCTAGAACGCGAGTTAAATGTGACTTTGGCGATTCCTGAGGCGAATTCTTGAACATCTGACCACTGAGAACATACAATGAATGATGCCGTTGATATGACGAAGGCGATGATGCCATAGATGAAGACCTTCTAGTAGCTGGTATTTCTGTGGGCTGCGAGGCGCCAGCAATTGAATATGAGGATGGAATATTAACTCCGGTGGGCGATGTCGGGGGAGATGAATCTTGCTCTTCTTGGGACGATGATTTACGAGAATCAATCGACCTATTAAGCCCACGATGTCGCTGTCGATCCTGACCACCTTTAATTTGAGATGAAGTGCTAAGGTGGGTAGGAAGATGCTGGTAACAGTGGTGAGAGTTTGCATATGAGGACCTCGTAGGGGCTGACAGTGCCATTCCTGTAAAGTCAGACTGAGGAGATTGAGGCTGAACTGCTGGAATGAGTGATTCCTTGGCGCCTTCTCGGAGAGGCATCCCGATCTGTGATGCCGGTGCAGGTGTTGATGCTGATAATGTGCCTGCCTTAGCGTCTACACTCATGTACATGCCCTTGTCAGAGCCACCACTGTCAATAGAAAAACTCGTCCAGCCAGAGCTCGGTTTTTGCATAAAGCTGGAGGTTAGAGTGCGCTGGTGTTCATCCAAATACTCATCACCACCTGACCCCACAAGGCCCCTGGAATTTTGGTTGTAGATCTTATCGCTCGAGGCAATAAAACTAGGTCGAGCATTTGCATTCGGGTTTTCTGTAGACGACTTTTCGTCGCTACTCTCAGACTGTGCTATATCTGAATTGAACATGTTGGAGAGAGGGGATTGAATCTTCTCCTGATTCGATAGCGAGCGCCGTAGCCGTGTTTTCCAACTGATACTTGAGTGCGGTGATGGTATTGAAGATACAGGGGTTAAAAGAGGAGATCCTGAATTCGGCGATAGTGCTCCGGGCTCACTTGATATACTAGGACTATACTGTTGATTCTCTGGATTTGTCGCGCTCAGTTTAATGTTTACAGGTGACAAGCGAAGTTTCGCACTTCCAACCGAGCCTTTCTTAACATGCAAAGAAGCTCGGGAGCTTGAAATAGGCTGGCCTAAACTCTCATCGCACCCATATGAATTTGTGCTCGATAGTATAAATGCACCACTCGTGCTTGGCTTGAAAGGATTACAGGTATTGGCGCACGAGATTGCATTGGGCTGATCCTGTGAGTTGGTACAGGTATTGCTCCGTATAGATGATGGGGACATCGCTCCTGGTAACGACTGTGGTAATGAAGCTGCAAGCGGGGTGCCTTGTTGTTTATGGAGGGCTGTAGCCGCTGTGGAAGTCAATGGAGACGCAATGCTCGATGCTGACGAAGCTATTGTTGTTCCAGAAAAAGAAGCCATGCTTTGAGAGCCGCCAGAACACCCACCTGTATTCAGATTATTCGATGATTTCGACTGAGTGTTGAGCAGCGAGCGATATGCTGAAATGCTCAGCTCCGAACGATACTGCTCGATATCTTCTAGGTTGGAGATGGATACTGGCCAAGCACTTTTTTCGGGCGAAATAGCAGTACTTGGCTGCGTGGATGAAGGCGACAGCTCCAAAGGAACCTTTGATACTGGGGATTCGGCACCAAGCCCTAACGATGGACTCTTTATCCGTGCTGCGTTATTAATGCTAGTAGCCCGCGATGATGGTGCCAAAGGTAATGCCATGCCTCCGCTCTCTGTCGTGCAATTGCCAGCGCCTGACTTTGATCCTAATGGTCCGGATATTATAAATAAATATATAAATTATACAGAATAAAACCATAATGATAAAACAATGAAACAACAGCCCCATCTGCCTTTTGTTCAGTGATGCAGTGATACCGCTCTTCTTTTTGTTTTCGCTCACAAGATTATTATATGAGAAAACTTCACTCTCCTCTTTACCTCGTCTATCGTCATATAGTGGCCCTGTGGATGACCTGACTCTCCCACCTGGAACAACGCCTTGGATTGCCTCTTTTAGCGAGATCGGCCCTGAAGCCGGTGCTGGCGTCTCTCGCTTTGACTCCAGTACAGGGGCTAATGCTACAATGCGTTTGCTGGACTGAAGAGCTGTGGGGGGTTGCTCAACTTTTATGTTTACTGAGCTTTGGGGCTCTATTAACCGAGCATCAATCGACGATGATGACGATTGCTCCATATTAGCTTCTATGACCGTCGTCCCTGAGAAAGGCGATTCCAATGTCTGCTGTGGATTTGAAGTAATGCAAAGCTCTCCTGCAAGATTGGACTTTGATCCAACATCGTCTCCTTTTGATAAATATGTTCCAGTGGTGCATACTGGTGTAGGCGGCAATGGCTTGGTTAGATGTGATGAGAACAGCGTTGCGTTAGATATGGTGCTAAATCTCATGTTGATATCGCTACTGTCAGCATTAGTACTTCCTGATTCTTCATTGGCGCCATGATCACTCCCACCGCTACCAGAGCTGGAGAGTGCTGTGATTGGCAGCGAAGCAGTGCGCTTGTGACTGGTGGCATTGGGTCCGGGCGCAGCAACAAGACTACCTCTGATCTCGTCAACAGTGACGACGAGATCGGGCGCACCTATCGGAGATGCAGGCATCGTGGATGGAGGGATTATAACTTCCTTACTTCTGGACGATGAGGAATGAGGTGTGGAGGAGGAGATTGAGTGCCGTTTGTAGGCGTTGGTAATAGTGTAGAAGCCCTTTTTCTTGCTGTTTTTAGTGGGGCTACTGCTGTAGAAATCGTATGAATTGTTGTGCTGCAAGGGTGAGTGTTGCGCTAAGTTCTGAGATGAGGATTGGTGATGGAAGCGGTTGGGGAAAAGAAAGAAGTGTTTACTACTGACACTTGAGCTGCTTTTACTATTGTTATTATTGCTCCTGCTGTGCGAAGAATTAGATTTGGGAGAGTGGGAAAGG